CTTATTTCCTTTACTTTTTTCTTTCTTTATAAAAATTATCCTATTTTACTTTTTATAAAATTGGTTAAATGGTAGCAAAATGAGATAAAAGAAACTTTTTTTTATGACTGATCAAACTGTGAATCACCAATTAAACTAAACAAATTTTGGTAATTAAGTGCAGCACGTACCAAGGTTTATCTTATTTTCTTATAAGATATTATCTAGCAAAAGCTTTCTGGGCTAAAATTAAACCGTGATTAACTTTTTTATTAATCTTAAATCTATGACGAAAATTATAAATACAAATAAACACGTTGTGTATTTATTATACTGTGCATTTATTACACTTGAAAAGAAAGACAACAGAGTTTAGAACGAGACTGTACCAAAAAAAGGTAAACTGTGAAGGTATCGAGTCACTCAACCAAGACCGAAACACAACCCTTAATTGATCTGACAAAAATCATGTGAATGACAGAATGCACAGGGCCCTTCCCCTTTATGAAAGCCAAACTAAGTTTCCATATTGAAGTGTTGGAGTTAGTTGAGCAAATATAAATACTGGTTGCTGAGAGCTTAAGCAGCTGCACCCCAAAGGGTCATGGAGATCATGTCAAGCTTCGACAGAGACCTCAATGACATGAGGGAGTATTATGAGAGCGGAAAGACTAAGCAAGCATCTTGGAGAGAATCTCAGCTCAAAGCCTTGCGTTGCTTCCTCATGGAAAAACAACAACATATCATGGAGGCCCTTATGCAGGATCTTGGGAAACATCAACTTGAAGCTTTCAGAGACGAGGTATCTTTTCACGTGTTCTTCTCTTATTATATTGAAACCTATTTTGGCTACGTGGAAGAAATGGTTGCAAATCATCAATCAGATATAATTTCTTAGTAATAAAAACCATTCTGGTCGCAGATAGGGACTTTGATCAAGACCTTAAATCTGGCATTGAAGTCTTTGAAAGCTTGGATGTCAGGCAAAAAGGTAAGATACATGTCCATACATACATCCTTCCAAATATTTGAAGATGAGCCTGTGAGAATATACATATGAAGTAACTAGCCACCAAATTGATCATTTTGATAGGCTGAATTGCCACAAGTAGCATTGCTCACCAGTGCAGAAATTGTTTCAGAACCACTTGGTCTGGTCCTCATTATTTCATCTTGGAATTTCCCATTTGGTGAGTTAACCTTTAAACCAATCCCTCAAAACATTTATGAGAAAAATATGAAGATATTATTGTGGTGTGCTCATTCTGTTGATTTATGCAAACGTAGGACTATCCTTGGAGCCACTTATTGGAGCAATAGCTGCGGGAAACGTGGCAATCTTAAAGCCTTCAGAGTTGTCTCCAGCTTCTTCTTCTCTACTCGCTTCCAGTCTCACCTCTTATTTGGACAATAAAGCCATTAAGGTGATCCAAGGAGGACCACAAGAGACCCAACAGCTACTAGAGCAAAGATGGGACAAAATCTTTTTCACAGGTAAATGGGTTATGTCTGTCTTAATTAGGTGACTCTATTTTTGGACAAAATTATTAATCTATAAGCAGTGATTTTAATCTTGTATTGTTTATAGTATAGCCAAAACCATTTTTAACGAAGAAGACAAACAAATTGTACTATTTCGCTCTCTTTTAACAGAAGAAAATGTTGTCTTCAATCGTTGTAAAAACTAATTGCAGGAAGTGCACGTGTGGGGCGGATTGTTATGTCTGCTGCTGTGAAGAATTTGACTCCTGTGACTTTGGAGTTGGGTGGAAAATGCCCTGCAGTTGTTGACTCCCTCTCATCTTCCTGGGATATAGAGACCACTGTGAAGAGAATTGTTGTGGGAAAATTTGGGACTTGTGCTGGTCAAGCATGCATAGCCATTGATTATGTCCTGGTGGAAAATAAGTATTGCTCAAAACTGGTACGTTCATCCCTTGAACTTTTTCATGTTCACTGATCTTTGATCTTTGTTTCCTATGATGTTTGGTGTTAGGGGTTTTTCTGGTAGCTTATTCTTGTTTCTTTTAGGTGGAACTGATGAAGGTCTGGATCAAGAAAATGTTTGGAGAGAACCCTCAACGGTCCAAAACTATCACCAGGATAGTTAACAAACACCACTTCTCTAGATTGAACAACCTTCTTGCTGATAAAATGGTCAAAGAATCAGTGGTTTATGGTGGCTCAGTGGACGAAGAAAACTTGTAATTAACTAACACTCTTCCCTTTCTCAACTACGTTTTCTTCCACAATAATTGTATTTCTGCTAAAGTTGGGTTTTCAATAAATTTAATTAATAAAAGAAAAATATCAAAGATTCTTACTCATTTTCCTGCAATTAGAATAGACCAGAAAAGTGCATCTTTACTTAGCCCAAAACTGTTACCTGTGAATTCGTGCAGATTTATTGAGCCAACCATCTTGGTGGATCCCCCACTGGAGGCAGCAATTATGTCAGAAGAGATCTTTGGACCATTACTTCCAATTATTACTGTAACTTTCATGCACACAACCCTCCCAATCACCACATGCTTGAATCTAGAAATATTTTCCAACTTGGCCAATGTCATTTTCTTTTCTTTTTTTATGGCATTAATTTGCAGGTAGAGAAGATTGAGGACAGTATTAGATTCATAAGGAGTAGGCCTAAGCCTCTTGCCCTTTATGTCTTCACCAAAAACAAAACCCTAGAGAGAAGAATGATATCTGAAACATCATCTGGCAGTTTAACTTTCAATGATGCAATACTACAAGTACAAACAACACTATCTACCATCATTCCATTGGAAATCTCTTTGCATGGTTTCATTAATCTTGTTATTTTTGTTTGTGCAGTATGCAGCTGATTCTCTTCCATTTGGAGGAGTGGGAGAAAGTGGGTTTGGCATGTACCATGGGAAGTTCTCCTTTGACACATTTAGCCACCAGAAGGCAATAGTAAGAAGAAGTTTTCTCACTGATTTCTGGTTTAGATATCCTCCATGGACACTAAATAAGTTGCAACTACTTGAAGAGTGTTACAATTATGATTATCTGGGGATGCTCCTTGTCATGCTGGGCTTGAAGAGATCATCAAAACGCTTATTTGCAAATCATATGTAGCTGTATAGGATCTTATTAATATGAGAACAATATACACTGTCATTTGTTTCTTGTGAAAAACCAGAAAACTGTAATGTTTTCCTTTTCTTTTCTTACAAAGTCCAATAAAAAATTGTTCCATGTGCAATTAGTCTTCCGTACAAAATTTGCCTATTAAAGTCTTATGCAGCTTTATTTGACCTTATCTGGTTGTCACTGAACTCCAATTAGTTTATGAATAAAATTCACATTCAGTTCTTTTAAAAAGAATTTATATTGTTGTTAAATTTAGTATTAGTGTTGTAGTTTTATTTAAATAATTTATATATAATAATGTATGTGTTATTGTTCATTTTGTTTTAAAGTTTTGTTTTATGGATTTTATTATTACAAAGTTTATTATTATACTTCTTCTAAAGACTGGGAGACGTGTCAACAAGATTGACCAATATAATCATTAAATAATATTCTTCTATCAAAAATTATATTTTAACATACACAATTTTTATATTTATTTCACATTATTTTTTTCATTCAATCTTTTATGACTTAAACAAATCTTTTACATTTATTTAACGTTACTTTTATTTACTTTTTACATTTTTCTTTTTAAATTATAAAATTTCATTTTTTCATAACTATTTTATTTTTATAATATATATAAAATAAATGTAAAATCCTACTATTTCTCTTTTTTTTCTTTTCTTACTTTTCCCCCTAATTGCTGACAATATTGTTATTTTTGTCTATTAGATTTATCCAACGTATAATATCGTAATTTTACTAGATGAAGTTTGTCTTCTTGTAGGATCTCAGCAATCATGGTTACAAGATTTCTGCTTTTCCCACCTTTCAGACTTATGGTACTTGTATTTTAAGTTTGTACCTGTGACAGAGAGAAAAAAAAAACAGAAGAAACTTACTGATTTGAGAGACAGAAACAATGACATTATATACTTAAAAAAGGAAAAAAAAATCACTTCTTTTTTTATAAATGTTAATTTGATTAGCACTATCGTTTCAAAATATTTGTTACTTTTAAATTGTATTTATTTGAATTATTCTCACATAATACTCACCAACCGTATCAATAATTGAATTCCAGAAAAAAAGGGCGTCTTTATGAGCATTCAAACTCAAAGTTTGGACCTCGCAAACTAGTGGCAGAGAATTATGATGGCATGGTAGTTGAAAAAATACACCGATTGCTGCTGCTGGAAAATAATTTTTAGCAATGTGTTCTTTTATATAAATTTCTTTGCACCTACACCATTGAATCTACTCTATGTGAGTGTAATTAAATACACCAACTTTCTTCTTTACCAGCACGCACATTTATTTTCATCATCTGAAACTGCTTTTTCCATGAGGTGTCAGCTAGGCAAATAGAAAATATAAATATTTAGGAAATAAAAAAGAAAGAGAAAAACAAAATGATGGAAAAAAATATATAAAAGGTATCAAATGAGAAGTGATGATTAAAAATTAAAATAAAAACTTCTCAATAAGAACTGATAACAGTGATTCAGAAAACAATTAAATTGAATGGTAGAAGTGTCTTTTCATACACACCCCAATCTTGGTTCTCGGTCAGAGTAGAATAACGGAGGCAGAGAACCACATGAAAGCGAAATTAGATATCTTGCAGGATCATCTCGGTATTGTGTACGAACGAAAAATATCAAAAATTTAAGAAACGATATTGAGTATGATGTGAAATCTACAAAAAATTATAATTTTTAATAAATTTAACCAATAAAAAAATAAGTGTGATTGAGAGATACCAATTTCCATCCAATCAAGAAAATAAACACAGATATGAGCAACATCGCTGCCTCAGACTCTACACAGACTATTAACCAAGTGTACTGAAATTGTTGTTTTGTAGCTGCGGTGGGAAAATATGGAGAAAATAAGCATGCAAATTTAAGAAACCCAGATTGATGAAAATGACCTATAATACAAGTTCTGAAAATCATGACACTAATAAAACTCATCCTAAACTAAAATCCAAATGCTGAATATTCAGAATTATCTCAAATACTACCATTAATCACATGCTATTCCACTCATTGAAACAAACAAAAATTTTTAAGACCCGCAATACGAAGCCTTCGTGCATAAAATTGACCAGGCAATACAAACAGATCCTATGCTTGCTGTAAAGATTTCGAAGTTCTCTGCCAAAGGGACCGTCCTAAAATGGAATTTCCATGCGTCGAAAGATATGCAGCATTCAATCTGGAAAAGCAACCAAAGATCCGTCAGAAACACATAATGAGCCAATATATGCAATTTTTTCTTTTGGTGAAAGCAAATATATCTTCTTTTTAAGGTTTTTATAGCTTTTAAATTGAAAAGGAAGAGAGAAGGGGGGCAAGAAGCTTACTTGTCAACATCAGGCAATGCCAAGGGATCATACGACTCCTCCACAGGCATAGATACTGACATGTCTTGACCACCTTCAACCTGAATAATAAGCAACCAATATGTATGAGAAACCCCAAAAATATTCTCTTCCGTAACATTTATATATCAATTTACCTGTTGAGGGTATTGTGCAGTATAACCAGCGTATGCACCATAAGCGTACAAGGAGGGATCATGAGCCGCACCATAAACATATGCCTCGTAACCCTGTCCATATCCATAATAGGCATTCCATTGATTTGGGTCCATCTGAGCGCCCCAGCCACTGGGTACATCCTAGAATTGTTTCAACTTTTTTTGTTAGAGCTATAACATAATTACACATCTAACTAACAATAAAAATGAATCCATATATAAGTTACTAATAGAGCAGATCAGATAATCTTATATTTATCACCAAGAGAATCCCAAAATCATTAATGTAAAACTTTATAAATATTTCAGAGTGATGAAAGTTCATTAAGGTATGGGATCCAGTACAAAAAGCTAAGCCACCAAAGCAGTACAGTTTCTTCATTATATTGTTTAAATATTTTTTTTAGTCTCACTTTAAATTTCTATTAAATTTTTGTGCCAACATGTTTGACGTGCAGCTGCTTTTCTTTCTTCAATTGAGTTGAATCCAACTCGACTTAATTTCCTAACTGAAATGCAATCATACTCTCGGTCTACAAACAGAGCATTCACATGTAACTGCTACAGCTATCATTAAATCATACAGTGTCACCTTAACTTTAACTAAAACCACCGAGCTTTGAGTCAGTGTTTATATTTCTCATTATCTTTCCTTGTCTCAGCACATATAATCACAATGTCCGTACCTTTTTCCTTGGGTGAATGATAGTATGGGGAGGGGAAGGGTCGGGTATGCAATTGTGGTAACTTACTGATGAAAGACCTCGGACCATACCTTAATTCCTTGTTATTGAAATTCCCCAAATCCTACCAGCTGAACCGACCTTCATAGGCATCATAACATCATGATTGCCCAATTAGGCAAGGTCAATTACATGGATCACACCATACCCATTGAGCTCGGCCAAAGATTAAATTTTGAGGGTCAATAACCCAAAACATACAAACTAATAAATGCCATAAAAAATCTATATCAGAACTGAGTTTGGAAGTATACACGTGTGTTACCAACATAGAAATTTCGGAAGACTTAATAAGTTGAATACATTGCCATGATTTTTTAAATTAAAATGAAAATGAATTATGTATGACAAATGTGCCACACAGGCCAGTGTCACCATGACAAGCCAAACAGTCATTTTGTCAAAAACATGAATCATTTCCAAATGAAAAATCACCTGTCTAGCTGTCAAGGTACTAGCCCAAGAAATTTGGATCAATTGTTGACCTATTATCTTTCCCTGCATCCTCTGAATCGCATCTTCAGCAGAGGCTCTACAGACAAAAGCCATGGAAGAGGTTAAAAGGCTAATCAATAACAAGAAAAAGCAGAAGGAGAAGAAACTAAGATTGATGAAAGACCTCATAAGATGCAGAGTAACATGACATCAGGCCACATGAAACTTATTGCCTTGGAAAGGGGTAGCAACAATCAAAATCATATCATTTATCCTTTGAGTTTCGAAATATTAGAGCAACCCCATAAAGATTCACATGTTAAAGTTTAAGGGTAAAAAACAAAACCTAGTTCCAAATTGAACATAACCGTATCCTTTGCCCGCATAAATTTTGACCGACACAATATCTCCAAATTGCATAAAGGTTTGCTTAAGCTCCTCCTCTGTCACATTAAGATCCAAATTACCAATACAAACCTGCATTACAAACAGATATCTGTAAGAGTACAATAAATCACATACATTCTTGTTCCAGAAAGTGTGTAATGCTATCTCGTCCGTCCCTTAAGTTAAAGAAATTTCAAAGAAGTCCTTAAAATTTCCAGATGTCTCGTTAAAATTCATAAACTTAACGACTAATTATTATTTTCATCCTCAAACATATCATAATATTATTATTCAAGTTTCACATTTTTAGAATTTTGGACTATAATGAGACCTTCGGATTGCACTTTCAAGGACATGTTAGAAGTTTATGTGACAGCACTATATGCTTTCAGGGATAAAATGTGTGGTGTACTCATCACATAAATTATTGGTCAACGAGAATCCAACTTACAGTGGTATTATTCACATCATTTTCTGGCTCAACAGTAGTCACCGGAGCAGTATATGCAGGAAATTGATACATTGCTGCAAAGTAATCCACAATTAAGAGTGATTTAAGTGATAATTGTGAACGGAACGAAGGGTTGTATGCTTGTACTGCAGTACTCACCTTTAGGTGGAGCATATTGGTTTTGAAAAGAAGCGTTCTTTTTAGGAGTAGCGGCACTGATACGCATAGGGCGCGTGGAGCAATAAACACCGTTCATTTCAGTCATGGCGCGGTTCCTCTGCGTCTCGTCGGTGAACTTAACAAAGCCATAGCCCTTGGAGCGGCCAGTGGCGGGGTCGGTGACGACTTTGGCCCCTTTGACGGAAGGATAATGGGCCCGGAAAGTTTCCTGAAGGAGGAAGTCAGTAACGTCGGGGGCGAGATCGCCGACGAATATGGAATGGTCGGGCCCAGAGTCTCCGAAGGAGGCCCAATTAAGCCGGAAGGTCTGTTCCGTACCGGGCATTTGGGTGCCGTTGTAGGTGCGGAGAAAGGCCTCCGCCGCCGCGTGAGAAACGAATTCCACGAAGCCGTAGCCCTCAGGCTGGCCCGTCATCTTGTTGCGAATGATTTTGATGGAAACCACTTCGCCGCTGTGGGCGAAGCACTGCGAGAGGTACGACTCGTCGACCCAGTACTGCAAATCGCCAATCCAAAGAGTTCTTACTTCCTCGATCGCCGTCGACGCCATCTTCCACAGCCGCGCTGCTGATTATGCTTCAACCTCCCTTTGGTATTTCCCGATGGTACGAGATTAAGGCTGCTTTAAAATTCAAACTGTGATATGGGTGTGGGCCGGATTATGCAGAGGCCCAGCTAAATATGGGTTGTAGAGTAGCCCATATTCTGGCGATGCGTCATGTCATATTGTTCGTCTCAAAATAAATAAAATCTAATTTTTTTTACCAAAAAAATATATGTTATTTAGTAAAGGTTAAAATACTAATTTAGATTCGATTTTTGTCAATTCAGTTGTAATAATTTGTCTGTTTAATAAGGTTTTATTTTTTTTCAATTTTGTTTAATTTAGTTTTTTTAACGTCATTTAAATAATTAATCATGTATGACATGTATCAATTTATGATTTTTTTAATTATTTTAAATTTATTTAATTAATTTTTTAAAAAATATTCATGTGTCAAGTCATCATTGTGACAATAACATTACCATGTGTTTATATCTTATAATTAATTTGGTTGATACTAAATTTAATTTTTATATAAATGATATATTAAAAAAGATTAAATTGAAAAAAATAATAAGTATAAGAACCAAATTGAGTATAAGATACATATAACAATAATAATAATGATACGTGTTTATGTCTTATAATCAATTTAGTTTCTATATTCATTAATTTTTTTAATTTAGTCAATATTTTTTTAAATAGAGAAATTTTGTCTTTTTTAAAATTGATATCAAATTTAATATTTATATAAATGTTATATAAAAAAGGAGATTGAATTGAAAAAAAAATAATAAGAACAAAATTGAATATAAAATACTTATACTAACACATGTCATTCACCCTAACATCTAACGTTTACTTGACACATAAATATTTTTAATAAATAACATATATATAATGAATCTTTAAACAAAAATGACACGAATAATTTTAATAATGATTATTATAATGAAGTGTAATTTTATATAATTTACTGTTAAATTTTAACAAAATAATATCATATTAAAAATAAATTTTAAAAATTTAAAACATATTTATAAATTTATAAATATTAAAATATATTGATATGAAGTTGAATATTCATCGAGTTCTAATTGGCTATTCAAAGTTGACCACAGTTATTTATTGTAGTCAATCTTATTTATCTAACATAAACAGTTTATCTAATCTGATGCGATACTTTTGTGGTTTTTTCAGTTATAAATTTCAAATGGTGCTACTTGGGTAAGTTTTGGCGGAATGATGCTATCATGCGGAAAAATTCTGGGACAGTAATCTGTAGGAAAACTATGGCTTCAAACCCTCACTGTCAACTTTTGTACTTTTCCTCCCCTGCATTCTCACCAAAACTTTCCCTAGATACACTTTCACTAAATTCTTCACCTTAACAGTGATAGCATGTTTGGTTACATAGGAAATAACACAACTTATTGCTTTCTTATTTAACAACTTTTACGAGTATTATCTCATAGAACTAAAAGCAGTTTCAAACTGCATTTAATCTTATTTATATTATTATTTTTATTAGGGCTTGAGTTTTTTTGCAACCTACTCTTCAGTGCTATTTGACTTGACACGTGTTAAGAGGAGAATGGAAAATTTAAAATACGTTCTGATGCCACACCGAAAATGGAAATAAGAGAGAAACACGACGTGTTTTTCTTTTATTAATTTCTGTTTATTTAAAACCATCCAACCTAGATAATATAATATCATTTCATCCATATATATATATTTATTTATTTTGTAAGCATTTCATCTATATTTTTTTCCAAAATGTTATTTAGCACTGTCAGCACAAGATTCGTGAATTTCACGGTGATCGTAATTTTAGAAGGAAAAGAGAAAATGCAATCGAACATCTGTGGTAATAATTAATGTATATTTATAAAAAGAGAATATTACACACTTCTCAATTAAAACCAATACAAGCTCATGGGTTACACTACAGTCAGAATGCAAGTCCAACTTCAGTGTAGACCCTATTATTAATGAATGACTAATTACAAAACAACTGCAACAATGTTCAACGTGATTTATTGGAAAAAAAAAATTGATTTAGCCAGAAGCTTAGTATGCTGGAGGCGGGGGTGAGTTATACAAGTAGGGGTAGTATGGTGGAGGAGGAGAAGGTGAAGGGGGAGGTGGGGACTTATAGTAATATGGTGGAGGAGGTGAAGGAGACGGAGGAGGTGGTGACTTGTAGTAATATGGTGGAGGAGGTGACGGAGAAGGTGGAGGGGGAGACTTATATACGTATGGAGGAGGTGGTGAAGGTGAAGGTGGTGGTGGGGACTTATAATAGTATGGTGGAGGAGGTGAAGGCGATGGTGGGGGTGGGGACTTGTAGTAGTATGGAGGAGGAGGTGATGGAGATGGAGGTGGTGGTGACTTATATACATATGGTGGAGGAGGTGAAGGTGATGGTGGGGGTGGAGACTTGTAGTAGTATGGAGGAGGAGGTGATGGAGATGGTGGTGGTGGTGATTTATAGACATATGGAGGTGGTGGGGATGGAGAAGGTGGAGGTGGAGATTTATAGTAATATGGAGGTGATTTGTAATAATAAGGAGGTGTTTGTTGTTGATACGGTGGTGTTGGGCGTGGATAATTGTTCCATGGTTGGCCATTGTAGGGCTTATAGTCATCAGCACCAACACTGATAGCCATTAGGCAAATTGCGAATGCAAGGATCAAACGAGGCCATTGCCTCGTTCCCATCTTCTCTGAATGTGAAAACGTTGCTGTCTTCAGAACACTTATTGTGCCAAATTTACTTTCTTGCTTCCCAAAGTATTGATTATAAGCCTTTATATAGTGTTTAGCTTCGGTGATGGCTGGTAGGATATCTTTGTTTGATGACACACAGCCATAAAGTCTTAAAATATATATTTATATTATTTTAACATTTCAACTTGATGTTATGGTTTGCCATTAAAGGAGTTCTTATTTTCCTCAGGATGGTGTGAAGAAAGTCAAGAAGAGAGTAGGTGATGGCGTGGTTGAATGAGCTCCTGTACATTTTCCTTAAACAAATATATATACAGAAGCGCGTCACAGCAGACAAAACTGATTATTTCGTTTGTCTTTTCACCAAGAACTTATGCCTGGAGTGTGAAACAGATGATAAAGTCAAATGCAATATCACTTCTTGCAATTCTCTCATATGTCTTTCTTTATCATTAGCTTTAGTTCTATCTTCCTAATCATAATACCATATGCCCAAATTATAAAAACATGAGGTTATCTTTGTTATCTTATTGCTCTTCAAATTATGCTTTTATCGTTGATGAAAATTGCTTCAGGTTACATGACATATTTTCTTGTTATTGTAAACTAACGCACTTGACAAACGTTAACTCCAGACTTAAAAAAATATATATTTATTTTGACTCGGTATAATTACTTTTTAAGCCGGTAAACCTACTTTGTTTGTTTTAATCAACATCTCGTGTGTATACTTTATGCCTTTTTTTTTTCACCACGACAAGTTTGTTCCGACATATTCTTTGATCAATTCCACCCTGCAACTGGATCCTTTTTAAACTTGAAAGCTGTAAATGAATTAGCGAGTTTTTGAAAGCTGGTGTATATATCCTAAATAAATAAACAGAGAAAAAGTCTAGGCGGCGAAATTTTGATCGATTTTAGGAAGATATGTTGTAATCCTATTTATTTCTTTATTTTTAGGTTGATCGTTCAATTATTATTATTTAATGTGTTGTTTATTTTTTCTGTTAGAGCAACGTATTGTTTATTTGATTTGATACATCAAGGCAATAAAAATACTTTGATTAACACGTTTCTTGCTTGATCGAAGCACCTCTTAAGAAAATCTGATTAGTCTCTTTAACTACCAGATAATTCACTTTTTGCTATTTTCTCTCTACAAATTTCATCAGATTAATTAAATTAATCCCGCTTGTAATCTTCAATTACCACCATTTGATTCGATTTACATTACGGTTCAGAGGACAGCACTTACCTTGGAAAGATAACTCATTATTATCAATTCGTGCCACAGTTAATTTTTAGTTACTTATACACAGTGCAAAGTTTCTGTAATAAATGAAAAGCATTCACCAAGAAAACAAAAATGGTGGATCTGTGTTTTCCCTAGACTCATGATCACTTCCAAGGAAAATGGTCTGAAGAAGAAGCGTTGCAGAAGTCCTAATACGTTTTTCTCTCAACTTGTGTATTTATTTTGCTTTTGTTGATTGGAAAATCATGCATAATATATACTATTTTGCGAAGAATTATTCATCCCAATGTACAAATATATATACATGCACAAAATTGGCTTTGTTTGAGATGGAATTTGTCCTTTTCTCACTGGCCAAAATAATAATTATATAATCATATAGTTCACTTTATAATTATCTTTGAATTTGAGACATAAATATATATTCTATATTTGTCGAAAGCTAAATTAATTTGGTTGGCACGTTGTTCTGTGCACTGTATCCAGATCATTTTTGAAGACTTTCTTTGACATATCGTGCTTAAAAACACTGTTTGTGAGTTGTGAGTAAGCCATCGTGGCCCATTTTGCTTGATTTACTTGCTCATACGTTCACACTTTTGTTTTGTTGGCAAAAGCTTCGAGATTTTTCTAGGTGTTTAAAGTGTAGTAATTTTTCAAGAGGCGAAATATGAACTTCTTGAAGGAATATTCATAGATTATGTTATCCAAAAATCTTGAGGAAACATAGATCAAAGATGTTTTCAAAGGAATATTTTAAATATGTTTTTAAAGTTTCAAAAAAGATAAAGAGAAATTCCCGATAAATAAAAAACAATGTTTTTTTGTGTTTATTTGTGTTTCTGTGATTCTGTCATATGGTTTATGTGATACAGAAATAACAATTTTTTTTAAATTATATACTTTAGACCGTGGTTCTGGTAAAACTGAAACAAAAAAGGGTCTATTGGCTCGTTATGGATCCAATCGAGACAATAGACTCTTTAATTAATTAACTTTAAGGTTAAAACCGAGGTAATAGACCAAATTTTTTAATTTTATAATCGTTTTACTGCTTCAGGTTTTTTAAACCGAGATAAAAGTGTAACCATTTTGTTTCGATTTTTGAACTGAGATAAAAAGTCTTTTTTACCTCGTATGAATATACCTCGGTTGTAAAATCGTTGTCATAAACTCAAAACAATCGAAACAATATTCATTCGTTGCACTAGTGTAAAACTTATCTTGAGTATTTAGTATATACTGTTCACTTTTCCAATCCAATCACTTTTCCATATTTCTGTAATGGTGAGACTATACGTCTTTCTGATAGTCGTAAAAGATTGACTTTATTCTGAGTTAGTGTGTTCATATCTCTCTTATCCACACTCAATATCTAATTTAAAGATTAATATATATATATATATATATATATATATATATATATAAATAACAGTTTACTTCGAGTATTAATTAGTGTTCTCATTACAGAGGTCACAAGAAAGATATTAATTTCAAGACATATGTACGTTTTCATGCGTATGAAATTGGGGTGAAAGACACATCTTACATGTCAAAGTTATGTGCAATTACATTATTTACAAGTTTAATATATAATTTTATTTTGTGGAAGTTAAATTAATAGTCAGCCAGTTTTTATTTGTTACTGTGTTGCTATAAATATAAGAGTAGTTATTTTGAATGGTAATTGTGATTGCTATAAGACTGGTTGTTTACAAAATGTGAAAAAGTTAGAAAAGATGTTGAAAGAGTAATCGATGTGCTACAATCTCAATTTGCAATTATAAGTAGTCAGGTGAGTCATTAATTAGATACATAAAAATGATGAATAATCATGTATACACATCCATTATACTGTATAATATGATTTTTTAAATGATTATTTCAATATTAATTATACAATATGTACTCATCGTACCTATTGACACAATAATGCGAGTGTTAAGGAGGACTACTAAGAAACAAAACATTTGAATGAATGGAATGTGTTATACAATTTCTTCAATCAAGGAGGATGAAAAATATATATTATCTGAGTATTTGGGACAAAAAATGAGGGTCCAATTGTCATGTCATTGGTGTATATTTTAAAATGAAAAATGACAGGCTTTATAATTTATAAAATAGCTAAATATTTAAGATTTTACACATTGACAATGTGAAAAAATCTCTTGAAATAATTTTGCGAGACAAAGGAAACTATAGACAAAAACAAATACGTTGACAATGTTGGAGGGCATTTTGTTTCTTATGTTTCATTTTTCTAACTAATAGTTTTGTAAGTGGGAGGCATACACAGTTCGAAGTCTTGTATCGACTAGAGATAAGATCAATTCTTTGTTTATAAGTGGGTGCAAACCTCACTCTACAAGTATGGTTGAGTTAGACTTAAAGTTTACTGCTAATATGCTATCAGACTTATAATTAGAGTCTATCTTAGCGATATTTGTTGTGTGCTGGACATATTATTTCAACCGCTATCGAACCATACACTCAAAATGAATATATCTCGACGTGGGAGTATACACCCTATAGCTGACTAAGTGAAACTATATATATATATATATATATATGTATATATGCTCTATGATTCTTTGGTTATGTCTATACACAGTCAATACTCTTTACATTATGTTAGCGCGTTTGAGAAGGATGTCTTATAAGATGAATCAGTTTTCAGAGACCATATATATATATATATAAGCATAAAATATGGTGATTGGGAAGAAAGAAACAAAACCAATTATAACGAAAAGACATTTTAAATAATTCCGGCAAGTTTTGCATTTGACTTTTTCAGTTGTTTCACACTTATTATGCAATTCGACTGTATTTATTAAAAGATCTTTCCCTTTCTCTCTGTAATAACGTGTCTGATAAACAACGAGAATTCTCAATAAATTTGATGAATTATTCTTTAACATCAATTTTATGTCACTTTTTAGTAAGATATATAAAATACTTCATTAGTGAAAGGATTTATCATTTTAAAGGCAATATAGACATTCGTCTATAGTTCATAACTTTTTTTTTCGTGAATAATGTTGTTCTGATGAAATTTTTTGTTGTTCAAACTTAAGAAAAAGAACAAGATAATAATGTATACAAATATTATACTGATTTAAGAACATTATAAATATTTACTAATTTATTTATTGAGTTTTTTTTAATATTATACTGATTCTTTAACCTATTAGACTATACATAGTATTTAGTTTATTAATCCACTATATATTTGTAACTATGTCTTGAATACTTGCAACAACATTGTCTTATTTCTTTATTATTATTTGTTGTTTAATTATGTGCGCGTGTAGAGAGGGAGAAAATTTCCATTTGTCATTGTGATATAGAAAATATTTTAAGACTTGCAACCTCTTTTTTTCTTTTTTTTTTCTTTTTAATAGTGTAACCAAAAGAAGATAGAGAATAACAAAAGACATATGCATATTGATTTTCATCTTCTTTGAAGTTCACCTTTAAATAGAGAATACTGAAAAAAGAAGTAAGAAATACAAATCCTAACAGAAGTAAAACAACATTATATTCATCACATTGATTTATTCCTTTTTTTTATTTAAAAAACGTAATTAAAAGAATACACACCAGTCCTACTGATGATGCAGTAACTTAATAAACACTAATTACTTTGAAAATGTCAATAAGCAACAATAAAAATTTAATTTGAAACCAAAATAAAAAAATTAAGACAAAAATAATAAAACGTACAAATTTATTAAAGACCATGAGCAAAACAAAACTAAAAAAGCTTATCTAGCTACTCTAATCTATTGTTTAGGGTGCTTCTTCCTGCACCCTTATTTTTCTTCTTGTACTATCACAAAAAAGAAAAAAAAAATATTCTCCAAATTATTCCTCCTTAAAAATGTAATAAAAACTCATATATTTTTTTATTTTTAATATTTTCTAGAGTGAATATTTCGAAAGTAATGATTTGGAAAATATCTTACGGAACACAAACACCGTTGACTTCCCGAGAGCCTTCTTCAGCGTGGCGGCACCCTGAGTATCGACGCTATGAATGACGTCGCAGTCCATTTTAATACATTTTATTCCATGGTAAAATGAGGATGATACATTTTATGGGGTGCAGGAAAAAAAATGAGGTCGGAGAATTATTTAATAAATATATGTAAATGGTAGGGAAAGAATAGCAATAATATAAAAACTTAATTAATATTTTAATATTCTCATAAATTTACGTATAATTGAATCCATATTAAATTTTTATTGAGTACTCAACGATTTTATATTTTTAATTAAGTATTTATTATCTATTTTAGTTGATTAATAATGTGATTATTATTTTTACTATTTTACTTATTTGTTATCATGTAAAATTTTATAATTAATATAAAATGATATTATAATTAATATAAAACAATAAATAGTTTTTATTATTTTAATTAAAACACATTGGATAATGCATATATTTTTTAATGTTATTATCTACAATAACAAAAAAAAACTCTTATCGTCATATCTATTTTTCAACGTATTTTCAGTGAAAACAATACAAATTATTTATTATTTTACATTAATCACAATATAATTTTATATTAATTATAAAATCTTTCATCTATTAAAATATACAAAAATTTGAAATACTTAACAAAACAAAAAATAATAATTAACAGACACTTAAATACCTAATTTTATAAGGAAATATAGAATTTAATTAAGCCTAATAACAATTATATGAAGAAAAAAAAAGAAATTTCTTTTATACAGTATCATGACCAAAATTAGCATACTTATAAGAAACAATAAATCATTTTTGTATCCACAATCCTGATTTATCAAGTCTTGAGACTTTGTCTCGAACTAATCTTGCTTAACCACGAAATAAATAAAATCTGGTCAGATAACCGAAAAATCTTATTAAAGCTGAAAGTAAAATTAAATCTCTTGTTAAAATACTAATTACATTCATGTAACAAACCTTACTTTAAAACAATGGTAACGCAATAATGGAGTACATATTTTCTGTATAGAACTGTTAAATTGTTAAATTATAAGGTAGATAAAGAATATGTATACTCTTAACATTATAAGTTGAATGAGCCCTTCCCAAAAAGAAAGTCTAAATAGTAATTTTTGTTGTAAACATCGACCAAAACACAAACAAAATTTTATTCTGAGAACGTATAGATTCAAGACTTATCTACGGTATATTATACAAATTTTCTAAAATACAATAAGAATTTTCCTAATTTTTCAAAATTATCATAACTGCTCTAAAATACAAGAATTTTCCTAATTTTTAAAAAATATCAACTAGCAAGAAATTCTAAAAGAAATAATTAACAAGAAACTCTAAAAAAAAAATGTACTAAACCTAAAATAATAAATTGAGAAAAGAAGATGAAAAAACAAAAGATTAAAAAGTTGTACTATAGATCTCTTCATTGCTCTCACGGATTTGTTTTTGGTACTATTCCAAAAAATCTCTCACTAAGAAATGTATCTTATGTGTATATAAATCCATGTATATTTCATATTTCGGATATGAAACTTTATTTGTACTCAAACATTCTACACCCTTGCAGCTAAAGTTAAAAAGAATTGCTCCTGAGGAATAGGACTCATTCGAATAAGTTCAGCCAAAAAAATTGAAATAAAGGATATATATTTTGCAATATATTTATAACAGTTTTTATAACAATTCTTATTATGCCATTCGATCTCCTTTATCAATTAGACCATAACTACGAATTACGTATACGATAAAAAGGAAACTCAGTGCACCTTCCAGAAACTAAAAAATATTTAACAAAAATGAATAGCTTCAATTCCATTTTGCAACTAGTTTGAACCTCCAGTAAGAATTAAGTTAGAACGACAACATATGATTCATCTTTCTAGAAATTGTTTTAAATCATACATCAAGTTGATTTTCGAATTGAAAGGTATTGTATGGCATTCGACACCAGCTTGAATCCGCTCAATATGCCACGGTAGAGCAGATTCCCGGTTCATAACAGATACCATATCAGCAACAGTAACAAATATTAGAAGACAAAATAGAAATTCAAACCAATGGATTAGTAACAAATAACTTTCAGCTTTACATAACCAAAAACCTTGTACACAGAAATGACGGAACCCGGTGATATACAAATTACACTTCATGTCTGACGTGCTAAAGGCCTGTGTGGCTTTGTAGCTGAGAAGAAATAGAAAGAGCATAAGTATTATTTATTAATATGGGCTATATGGACCACACATCAACAATATCATAAAGCTTTAGAAGGTTTTGTGTGCTAGTGAGAAAGGACCAAAGTAACTTGCCATTGGGATTTCCTTGCTCATAGAATGTTCGAAAGAGAAAAACAGCTTCTGATGCCATTATACCTCCAGTAGATTTGAAATTCTTTCCTGATGGAACTTCACTGTTTATAAGAAAAATAAGAATTATTTGTTTACATACATTAGTGGGTGTAGCAGACAGATGTAAGAAAGAAAGACAATAAACAACAATTAATAATTTTCCTGACAAAGTAAAAATTATAACAGTAAATGACATGCCCCTACAAAATAATAATGAATAATAATAATAATAGTAATAGTAATGATAGAATAGATCACGACAAGGCTTGCATAGATGGTGCTGAATTAAGAGACATACTTATTGACTGTTGTGGTGTTACTTGAATGCAAGGACAGTATCGATCCACACCCTCCAAATTTATCATTTGAACAGCCATAAAATACTTCCTTTATACCTGAAATAATACACAAACCAATGAATTAGAAATGACAATATAAAGAGTGCAACTGTAATGGATTGTTCAACTCGAGACTAGAAGAAGCATACCTAAAATTGATAAAGCAGATGCGCACATTATGCATGGTTCACAGGTAACATAAAGACTGCAGTTTGAGAATTTTTCAGCAACTTCAGATATTGAATGTCCATTTTTCTGCCACTGCCCAAGAAGCACGTCTATAGCTTCCATTTCTGCATGCCTTGTAGCCTGATAATAACAAATGCATGAATGATAAAACGATTACTGTAATTCTTAGAAATTTCAAAGAATCTGCAGCAATGTGTTTGGTGCACTCTTTTCCCTAACAAGGCATCCATAGTTGATTATGATAAAAGAAGAAGCATGAACAGAGAAAAGAAAGGAACGAAAGAAATATTATTTTTGAATCTTGAAGAAGTTATGTACTGAATGTCAGAACCCATTAAAACGCACCCCAAACCCCAAGTAGTGGGATCCATGTGCCAAGAGGGGAGGGAGCATCTCAGTTGCAGAAGAGTGACCGTTCGTTTTGGGCGACGGCAGTATTTAAGGCCAAATTTCAAATAACGTGTCACTTCTCTGCATGCCTTTCTTCTTCTCCAAACTGTTGAAACTCTTTTCTCCTCCTTCTCTCTAAAATCTCCTCCTTCTCTCTAAGAAAACATGACCATTTCTTCTTCCGATCACCTCTCAGGCATCGCTGGAACACTCCCAGCGTCAAGAGCTTCCACTTAAACCGATCGGTTTGTGATTCTGAGCTGGTGAGTTCTTTCTCTTTAAGCACGTTCATTTAGACTCGCATGCAACTCTCTAGTTCTGGTCGCCTGAGTGGGTAGTATTATTCTGAGCATTTCTGGTTTTCTATGTGGTTCAGTATTCCTAAAACGTGGCCGTCGGACATTAAGTCTTTGGTAGTAGGGAGCTCTAATTCTGCATAGTTGAGCGTTCGGTTACGTGTCGAGGTAAAGAAAGCTTATATAATTTGATTAAATTCTTGTTTGAACGTTGGCATGTTTGCATGATACGTTGTTTGATTATTTGATGAATATGAGATATGTGTGTACTGCTTGTTTGGACGTGTGGATGGATGAATGATGCATGTTGTGAATTGAGTTGAGATAGGACTTGATATTCAAACTGTGGTAGTCTGAGTAAAGGTGATAGTATGGTCCAGAGTCATTAGCGAGCATTCGGTTTTTCTTGGGAGTACATGGTCGTACCTGAGTTCTCATGTTTTGGGGATAGAGTATAAGAGTCTTCCTGTAATACTATATATGATTAGTTAAACTTTACCGAGAGTTCGTATTAACCATTTTGTTCCTCTTTAAGTGTCCATCTACATTAAGTTCTTCTTCTACAAGGAATTTCGTTAGTAGAGTTCGTGTTATAATAATAGATATGTATAATGAGTGTTCGGCTTAAGTGTAGTCCTTCTTTAGACTTCCTAATTCGCTTTATGTAAGTTTATTAGTGATCGGTCTTGGATCAAGTGTTCAGTCTCATTAGCGCTTGTTCCTGATAATCACTTGGTCTTGGACCAGCGCTCGTCCAATAGTGTTCGGTTTCTACAGGGCTCGGTCTTAAACCAAGCGTTGGGTCTTGTTTTTTGTAATATATTATTATTGTGCTTAGAATCAGAGTCTTCATTCAAACTAGATAGTGTTCGTTACTCAATAGTTTCTCATCAGTATTAGTATTTAGTGTAAATCAGTGTTGGTCTTTAAAAGGTGTTCGGCCTAGAGTCTTAGTACTCGGCCTAGGCTTCGTGGCGTCCGGTTTGAACTCTTAGGAGTCTGTTTATTGAAGTAGATGAGTAGCGCTCAGTCTTGTTAGCTTCTAAGAAGTGTTATACCAGTCGTACTTGGGCTATGATAAGAACGTATGATCTTATTTCATTTTGAATATGTGGATGATAAAGTATGAGAGAATTTGAAAAGTGGTGTGTATGAAATAGTTTGATTATGAACGAGTATTCCAGGGAGGAATATCTCAGAAAGTGGTTATTGATTGATAAAGTATGAATGTGGGCAAAGCTTGGCGGGCATTCATCCTGATATTCCATGATTACTCGTTCTAATGTAGAGAGGAGTAAGTCACGTGTGGGAATGGCAGGAGGTCCTAGTCCATAAGGTTAACTTGGACGGAACGAATCAACCTCGGGTGGCAGCTGTTAAGGGTATCCCAGTTACTACATCACCCGGGTGCACGAACGTCGTAGCTACACAGGATTCATACAGTCCGGACAGTCAGAGTCATGTGGTCGTTAATTGCATGCATGGATGTATGAATTATGATGTGGTCGTTGTTGGTTTTGTTATGAATGTTGTATGTTGTGATTGAATAAATTAAATTACATAAGCTTATCCTGTTTATCATTTTTGTCTGTGTTGTGTGTCTTGTCGTTGTCCTGTTGCAATGATCATCCGTGTGGATGTGAGCAGAAGGAGAAGAGCTGCTGGAAGAAGTATTAGAAGACACAACGGAAGTGAAGGCCGAACCTTGAGAGCGTTCGGTCTGGTATTGGCTTTATCTTTTGTAAAGACTGTGTGGTATTAGTATATTTTGGTAAACGTTCGGTCTATTAGTAGCTAGCGTTAGTTTTTAAATCCCATGTTATTGTGTAAGGCCGTTCGGCCATAATCGTATCTCGTTCTGTGTAGAACTGGGCTGTAGTATTATTAATATGTGATGATTCTCGTATATGGTTTTATACTGTATTTTTGGGATGTTACACTGAATAACAGAAGAAAAGGGGATATATATATAGAACAGAAATCATGGGAAAAAAAACGGAAATAATAGAAAACACACCGGGCTAATAAACAGTTTGGCTAGCTTGGCCAACCTAGCCAGCATAGCTGGCGCTATTCAATCATTTGATTATTCTTTGACTTCCAACTATAGACGAGTGTTAAAGATAGATGATGAAGCCTATGATAGATTTCCTTATGTCTGGACACAGTCCAGTCAGAGTCACTGAATCTAGTGATTTTAGTATCACTCTTTGCATGAAGTAACAGACCTAAACCAGGAGCTTGTTTTAAGTAACAAAGCACACGTAAAGCAGCTTGATGATGATAAATATAAACCAACTGATCGAAAATATATGCATGAAAACAGAAAAGAGATCATTGATCAAATTACATTTCGTGTCTCAGTAGTTCGGTTCCTGCCTGTGGCTATTACTTTGCCATCCTCAACAATTACACATCTGCCAACAAATACCGCAGTTTACATAAAAGAGTAAACCAAAACAATAATGATCCAATGAAACGATAGACATGGTCTCTCCAATTGATTCAATGCATAATACAATCAAGATGACTAATGAACAAAGATTTACTTCAGCCAATTTTACACTCAACAAATGATAGGAAGCATACCAGGAATTACAAGAAAATGTTAAATGCTCCATGTTCTCAAGGTTACTATGATGTTAAAGGAGAAAACAATAAGCCATTATTACTAAATAAATTAATCTCGGAATATACATGCTAATCCAATGTAGATGCCAATAGCTCAATTTTTTTTTCCTATTTTTTCTCCAAAATAAAAAGACCAATGAAAATGGGCATCCATATCTAAATTCAAAAAGCAGTTCAACGGATTGGATTTGGTACAATACATAAGAGATCAATGATATTCAAACATTCCCGTTTAGAATAGATTGATTTGACCAATCCCGTAGCATGTTTCCAGTTAGGACTTAAAGCATAAGAGGAGAGTTCAATCAAAATGATTAGTAGTCCATTAAGTGAGAGAACCTAAAGGCTTACGTATCAAATCAAATAGTTTAGCCTACTCGATGTGGGCACCTAACACTACATCCCCTTTAAGGCTGACATCCACGAAGACTTCATTCTATCAACATTGACCCGATGGTACCCTTTTTCCTATAAGGGATTTAATCACCTATCAGTATTCAGTTTGCACCTTAATCCAACCCATAGGTAGCCCTTTTCATAATCCAACTCTTAATTAAAACACCAACTACTAGGATTTAAGTACAAGAGGACAGTCCAACCCAAAAGACTAGTTCACTATTGGGAAAACCTTAAAGCTTAAGTATCAAGTAGCTTATCCTACTCAATACCAGACTTCTAACATTTTTAGTTGAGAGTAATTACAACTCTGTTTTTGATTCATTAAATCCCATTGGTATTGACTTGAAATGACTTTAAAAACTGATGCTTATGATTAACTTTCTGTTTAATCAGCACCTTGTCTTTTAAATAGGAGTCATGCAAGTCTTCTCACATTTCCAAAATCCAATCAAAAGTTTAAGAAACTTCTTATTACACCCTCTTTTGTCACGTATACAGTCATCACAGCACCGACACCCATTTAGCTCACACTCTCCTATGCACTTCTTTAGCTATGTTTATTTATCGTCCAAGGAGGACAGTCATCTTCAACATTAAAATCAGTATCACCCTCTTCCTTCTTCCTGACATTAGAGAAAAAAACTAAAATATTTTCTGATTTCAACTATCTAACTAAATATCCTATTACCATAGAATGCATTTCATTGTCTTAATGTAATCAACCAGCACCAGTGATGAATGTGAACGACGGTCAACACCTTTATCAATTACAAGTTACACTTCCAACGATATTCAAGTAACATGAAATTGTGAAGGTAACTTACCCAACAGGTACTTCAAGAGCATCCAAAGCTAACCTCGCCTGTCACATAAATCAGAGTAATTAAAAGAAATAAAAACAGTTAAATCCAATGAAATGATAATAACGATAACAACAACAAAACTAGTGTTCCGCAATGCTAGAGGGCTCCTCGCTATGAAAAGGTACAGGGGAGGGTCGCTGTACGCAACCTTACCGCTGTGTTAAGGCTCGCCTTCTTATAAATAATAATAATAAAAGGGCAAGAATATAAATTTCCGCATAGATTACATGGTGAACGTAAGGAGAGCAGAATCAACATAGTCAGGGAGATAGATGGCTTAAATTGTCAGTTTGAACGCAAGAACTACGGTCATGAAGAAGACAAACACTGTGTTCCACTAAAAGCCAGCACCGACTTACTCCACCGCCTCCCATCATTTCCAATTTGATGAGTCATAAAGATCAATAAGCAAAGAAACCACATAGGCAACTATTGAATATACAGTTAATTTCTGAAAAAAGTATGAATGGTGTTTATCGCCTACAGAAAAGAAAACAACCCTACCTACAGGAGGCATACTTGCAGAAATTAATGGCGCATATAAAAATGTTTGCAAAGCATTACCTGGTGTATGGCTAGCTCCATGAACGAAAGGATCTCAGGAGAGGTCATCCTGAGCCAATGCAGAGAACAGGGATTCGAAGGAAGAAGAAAAGAGAGGCACAACGCTTAGTGACTCACTTCACACCTTCTCTCTCAACTGTGACAGAGGAGAACGGGTGATTACTGACTTAGATATAAAGTCTCTATTATTGCTTTATAAATAAATATTATTTTAATGTGAGTTTCACTACCATAGTTTCATATAAACGTCTTCTAACATCTATTATATTCGGTATATTCAAAGTATGTAAGCTAAGAATAATCTTACTTATGCTAATTACTAATCCAATATTTTAAGTCTAATGACTGTAAATAGACTTTAACCCTCTTCGGCGATAAATCTTCTTCACATGGACAAAAGTGATATCTGTAACAATGACCTCGTCTCATTAACAATGAAAAAGATCAACGTTGGTGAATTCAAACACTCACGAAGATAAAAAATCACTTAAAAGTGATATTCACACACTCTCAAGAATCTATTTAATTTCTTGATTGATTTTTTTTTATGATTTGTCTCTGATAATGGATTTATCTCTCTGCTTTTTGTTTATGAGTTTTTCCTATTTCTTACTATTTCTTGTTCATTTTGTAATCAGGAATCAACAGAATGATATAACAGAATCAAACCATAACTTATCACAATAATGCCAAGAAATTGTGCACCAGATTTGCAGGAAAGAGGACATTAAAGCAGAGGAGGTAGCATAACTAATAAAATCAAGTATGACTAACACGCAGTGATCAAACAATTTGATTAAGGAAGAAGAGAATTAGGTAATAAACCTTCGTCGTGAGAGGCCAATCCGATTCTCGCTTCTTTCTTTCTCTGCCTTTCTCAAACTTTCTTCCCGAAACTTTTTTTCCTTTTTCTTCTTTTTCTTCAGTTTCCCTTCATGCTCTCTCTTTTTTCAAAATAATCCCCCAAAATAACTAAAAAGCAGGTTTATATAATACTAGAGAGCTAGTTTTTCACGGTGATCTGACTCTCATTCCTTGTGACACACTTCAGCTGCTATGCTTAAAACCCCCATCTCGTGCCTCCCGCTTGATAAATCGCGGAGGGAAAAAAGAAAAAAATGCCACATGGCCACCTATTGGAAACTTTTTTATGAGAAATGCGTTAATCGTCCTTGTTTTTTTTCTTTTTTTTGCTTTTTCCTGTCTTCTTTTACTTTCTTACCTTACCCCTTTTTTATTTTTAATAATTCTGAATTTTGCTATATTAAAAAAATATTATACAAATATATTTTAACTTAATTTATATTTTATTCTATTTTTTATTTTGTCTTTTGATTCATTTATTATTATTATTGTTATATATTTAAAAAAAACTATAATACTTATTTTCCACGTATTTATTTTTTGAAATCATTTTATATTTATTTAGACTAAATCAAGTTTTGACAAATAGATTTATAAATGCAGTTAACATACTACGAATCAAATCATCGTGAAATTAAGAAAACATAATGTTGGAATAATATCTTGGAAGGTGGGAGAAGTAAAGTAACTTACAATGAATTCTTTAGTGAGAGATGGAAAATAGTAATATGGTCGTGAATACAACTATATTTACTAAATTGTTAAGAGTTGATGCGAGTATCTTTAAGATTAAGGTTAATCAACCTCCCAACTCATTTTTTCACCAAAGTTTGAGTCTTTTATATGAGTTTAGAGAAATGTAAAGAGAACTTAGTCTAGATGATTATCATATGAAGACAATTTGTGGTGATCAATTTTTAGTGGCAGTGGATAGAGATCTTAGTGACCAATATTTCTTATTAACTTTGTTGTGATTAAAAATAAATGCAAAAAAAACTTGAAAGTGATTTTTAAGATGGTTGTTAATTATATTTTGAAAACATTGATTATCAACTCTAGGTATTTATTAAAAAAAAGATAAACTTTTAAGTTTAACTAATTAATTTAAGCTCATTTCATTTTGATTATTTAACAAAGTAATAATCTTCTTTGCAGAAATTAATCACCATGTTTGATAAGATTTTAAATAAAATAAAGCATAAGTTCTCTTTAAGACATTTATACAAAAATTAAAAGAAGAAATTGAATGAATTAACTATCATTAAATATCTTACGATTGGGCCAAGAAAACAACATTCTATAAGAAGTGAAAAAAAAAGGTGAAATTAAAAAATATTAATGATGATGTTTAGGTTGTTTGCATTTCCAATTAAATCTTAACTAAATTTGAGTAATTATCTTGATGTGATTTCTTGATTAATAATTTATTTCAACCATTTAATAATACAATTTTACTAACAAGTGACAATCTAATCATTATCATGATACAATGGATTAGATCACACCTCATTAGGTAATGTGACAACCGATATTGCAAGGTTACGGTGAAAAAGTAAAACTTTTATAAAAAGACAAAAATATTAGAAAACGGACTCAACGTAGCTTATTATGCAAAACTATGGAAAACCCTGCGTCAACCAAAGTCACCGTCAACAACCATCATAGCGCCGTTAAACCTCCGTGTCTGCATCTTCCTCAACCTCGCGACGCACCTGCAACACTGAATTCCAAAACCTGCAGTGAAGTCGCCGTCAACCATGAAGCACCACCGCGTCTCCATGAACCTGCGATTCAGAATCCAAAAAATCATTCGTTGTTCGTTCTTTCGCGCCTCCGTCATTCACAAACGCAGAACCCCAGATCGAACCAGAAGCGAAAACGCAAAACCCTAACCACTATACTCCATCGCGCACCAATGTCATTGGTGCCAACAATGCCAGTGGCCACCGGAGGCATCGTAGACGCTCCTCTGTTTCACTGTTTCTATTTTGAATTCCATTGCTGGGGACTGCTTATTCAATCGATGTAAGTTTATTTTGATGGTATATACACTTCATTTCCCCCCTGGTTATTTAGGGCATAATTTTTAATGGTCATTGTACGATTTGTTCATTTTCTATAACTAGAATTTTATTGTGCTTTATCATATTCCAGTGAACATTATGCAGTAAATGTTAAACAACATCTGTACTTACACTTAATTTTCCTGTTAGGAGGAAAACTTTGTGTATTGGAGGAAAGCTTTAAGGATTGAAATTATGTGACACTTTTTTTCTTTTTCAGTAGTTGTATTTGAATTAAAGCTTCTCTAAAGCCTCTGTTCAGAAACTTTGTTTGATAGTGACTACATTTATTTTTCCATTACTCGTGTATCTAAAATTTCGCCGCTACCCCTGTTGAGATGGAAGAGAATTGCAGTGCTTGCAGCCATGTGCATTGTAGTTGTTCACATAATAATGTTTCAACTTGCCTTTTTTCTTCATATGCAGGTGGTTTGTCTTTCTAAAAAGTGTTCTCAGTTGTAATGCATATGTGCATAAATTAGCTTTTGCACACATAATTGCAGCAACAAATATCTAGCAGCAAAGAAACCATCCTACAAAGACAGATGTTTTTGGCTGCTAATATGTGTGCATAATATTAAATCTACAGACCTCTGTGTTCAAGAGACCAACTATGCTTCCTAGATCATTGATTTTTTCTACAGCATTATTGAGTTTCTTCTCTTTAGTTTTAGCATTGTTCAAGGTAAAAGGATAAAAGCTTCCTGTTTTCTTAAGTTATACATGTGTTAATGTGAAAGTAAAATTACTCTCTGTCGACTTTCGTAAAGGATATACCTGACAATGAAGGAGATTGAAAATTTGGCATTCAATCTTTGTCAGTGCATTTGGATCAGAAGAGGGGACGTTCTTCTTATGTATATTCTCAGAGGACTTGGTCTTGTATCCTTGATTTATCATAAATAAGTTTCTTTAAGGTATTCTGGATTTGTGTTTCACTTCTTAAAGAGTGTTGCTCCTTAACTGATGCATATATGGTGTGCATCAGGTTTCTAAATAAGGAAATTCCTCCCTTGCAAAAGTAAACACTGTTGCATGGAATATATCCTGTGTTTTATATATGTATTGACATTATGTTCGAGTATCAAGCTCAGTCTGCTCCAAAATTTATCAAATCGTCACATACCTCCAAGACTGATATATCTAATGAATGTGAACATGGTTGGTGATTTGATATTCTTGTTGAAGTTTGATGTTCATTCTCACTTTCTGTGATAGGTTTCTGCATATGCTGTTCTTGCTTCAGTCCTCTGGTATCATTCTAAGTCTGTTGATGTGAAAAGAAACTCTGCCATATGTTTCTCAGGAAGGTAACCATTGACCAAGTTTTTTTCTTCTTTTTAATAGATACACAAACCTTGTAAATTATTTATCAGTTGAGAGTAACTTATTTTGAAGATTAATAATACACGTGTCGCTAAGTAACAAATAATATGATCAAGAAGAGAGCCAAAGAAAACTATTATAAAAATGAATAGTTGATTTTAGATTAGCCATCAATAAGTTTGGAACAAATGTGTAAATAATGTCTTTCCATATTATATTTGTGTTCGTGAAATGAGAATAAGTGTTATATGCTTGATTATTGTTTAGTTTAGGTGATACTGTCACAAACTATACATTCAAAAGAGATAAGTAGGGTCAACAATATTATCACAATCAAATAATTGAAGTTAGGAAATATTGGTGTTTTTATCTCATTACTAAATGCTGATTATAGATTAGTATATTATGCCTGTATATTGCCTTATAACACTAAGTCAATAAAAATATTTACTAATTTATTTATTGAGTTATTTTTAATATTACACTGATTCTTTAACCTATTATACTATACATAATATTTAGTTTATTAATCCACTATATATTTGTAACTATTTCTTGAATACTTGCACGCACAATGTCTTATTTCTTTATATTATTTGTTGTTTAATTATGATCAAGACTCACATGTATGTGTGTGCGTGTAGAGATGGAGAAGAAGATGTGAATGAGAAAATTTCCACTTATAAATGTTTCACGAATGCCATCATCATAACTTCAAAGTGCAAAGAGGAGAATGAAAACCAAGAATAGAGATGGACAAGAAGATGTGAATGAGAAAATTTCCATTTATCAATGTTTCACGAATGCCATCATCATAACTTCAAAATGCAAAGAGGCGAGTGAAAGCCAAGAATAAAGTATGATAGTAAATGTATATTGGAGAAAGAGATTAAGGCACACTTCTGAACTGACAACAATAAACAAACATGGCTACAGTATATCCAAAAGAAGGATTACTTTGGTGCAGGCCTTATTATGAAGAAATTCATAGCATTACAAATTAATGGCAACAATGTTGAACGTAATGAAAAAATTGATATTGATTTAGCTGCAAGCTTAATACATAGGAGGCGGGCGTGGAGACTTGTAGTAATATGGTGGTGGTGAAGGAGAAGGAGGTGGTGGTGACTTGTAATAGTATGGTGGAGGAGGCGCGGGAGAAGGTGGAGGAGGAGACTTGTAAACATATGGCGGAGGAGGAGAGGGAGAAGGTGGGGGTGGAGACTTGTAGTAATATGGGGGAGGTGGTGAAGGTGATGGTGGGGGAGGTGACTTATAAACATATGGAGGTGGAGGAGGGGGAGATGGTGGTGGAGGGGATTTGTAGACATAAGGTGGGGGAGGTGAAGGTGATGGTGGAGGTGGGGACTTATAAACATAGGGAGGTTGTGGTGAGGGAGATGGTGGTGGTGGGGACTTGTAAACATAGGGAGGTGGTGGTGAAGGAGATGGTGGTGGTGGGGACTTATAAACATAAGGAGGTGGTGGTGAGGGAGATGGAGGAGGTGGAGACTTGTAGACATAGGGAGGTGGTGGTGAGGGAGATGGTGGTGGTGGGGACTTATAAACATAGGGAGGTGGTGGTGAAGGAGATGGTGGTGGTGGGGACTTATAAACATAAGGAGGTGGTGGTGAGGGAGATGGAGGAGGTGGAGACTTGTAGACATAGGGAGGTGGTGGTGAGGGAGATGGTGGTGGTGGGGACTTATAAACATAGGGAGGTGGTGGTGAAGGAGATGGTGGTGGTGGGGACTTATAAACATAAGGAGGTGGTGGTGAGGGAGATGGAGGAGGTGGAGACTTGTAGACATAGGGAGGTGGTGGTGAGGGAGATGGTGGTGGTGGGGACTTATAAACATAGGGAGGTGGTGGTGAAGGAGATGGTGGTGGTGGGGACTTATAAACATAAGGAGGTGGTGGTGAGGGAGATGGAGGAGGTGGAGACTTGTAGACATAGGGAGGTGGTGGTGAGGGAGATGGTGGTGGTGGGGACTTATAAACATAGGGAGGTGGTGGTGAAGGAGATGGTGGTGGTGGGGACTTATAAACATAAGGAGGTGGTGGTGAGGGAGATGGAGGAGGTGGAGACTTGTAGACATAGGGAGGTGGTGGTGAGGGAGATGGTGGTGGTGGGGACTTATAAACATAGGGAGGTGGTGGTGAAGGAGATGGTGGTGGTGGGGACTTATAAACATAAGGAGGTGGTGGTGAGGGAGATGGAGGAGGTGGAGACTTGTAGACATAGGGAGGTGGTGGTGAGGGAGATGGTGGTGGTGGGGACTTATAAACATAGGGAGGTGGTGGTGAAGGAGATGGTGGTGGTGGGGACTTATAAACATAAGGAGGTGGTGGTGAGGGAGATGGAGGAGGTGGAGACTTGTAGACATAGGGAGGTGGTGGTGAGGGAGATGGTGGTGGTGGGGACTTATAAACATAGGGAGGTGGTGGTGAAGGAGATGGTGGTGGTGGGGACTTATAAACATAAGGAGGTGGTGGTGAGGGAGATGGAGGAGGTGGAGACTTGTAGACATAGGGAGGTGGTGGTGAGGGAGATGGTGGTGGTGGGGACTTATAAACATAGGGAGGTGGTGGTGAAGGAGATGGTGGTGGTGGGGACTTATAAACATAAGGAGGTGGTGGTGAGGGAGATGGAGGAGGTGGAGACTTGTAGACATAGGGAGGTGGTGGTGAGGGAGATGGTGGTGGTGGGGACTTATAAACATAGGGAGGTGGTGGTGAAGGAGATGGTGGTGGTGGGGACTTATAAACATAAGGAGGTGGTGGTGAGGGAGATGGAGGAGGTGGAGACTTGTAGACATAGGGAGGTGGTGGTGAGGGAGATGGTGGTGGTGGGGACTTATAAACATAGGGAGGTGGTGGTGAAGGAGATGGTGGTGGTGGGGACTTATAAACATAAGGAGGTGGTGGTGAGGGAGATGGAGGAGGTGGAGACTTGTAGACATAGGGAGGTGGTGGTGAGGGAGATGGTGGTGGTGGGGACTTATAAACATAGGGAGGTGGTGGTGAAGGAGATGGTGGTGGTGGGGACTTATAAACATAAGGAGGTGGTGGTGAGGGAGATGGAGGAGGTGGAGACTTGTAGACATAGGGAGGTGGTGGTGAGGGAGATGGTGGTGGTGGGGACTTATAAACATAGGGAGGTGGTGGTGAAGGAGATGGTGGTGGTGGGGACTTATAAACATAAGGAGGTGGTGGTGAGGGAGATGGAGGAGGTGGAGACTTGTAGACATAGGGAGGTGGTGGTGAGGGAGATGGTGGTGGTGGGGACTTATAAACATAGGGAGGTGGTGGTGAAGGAGATGGTGGTGGTGGGGACTTATAAACATAAGGAGGTGGTGGTGAGGGAGATGGAGGAGGTGGAGACTTGTAGACATAGGGAGGTGGTGGTGAGGGAGATGGTGGTGGTGGGGACTTATAAACATAGGGAGGTGGTGGTGAAGGAGATGGTGGTGGTGGGGACTTATAAACATAAGGAGGTGGTGGTGAGGGAGATGGAGGAGGTGGAGACTTGTAGACATAGGGAGGTGGTGGTGAGGGAGATGGTGGTGGTGGGGACTTATAAACATAGGGAGGTGGTGGTGAAGGAGATGGTGGTGGTGGGGACTTATAAACATAAGGAGGTGGTGGTGAGGGAGATGGAGGAGGTGGAGACTTGTAGACATAGGGAGGTGGTGGTGAGGGAGATGGTGGTGGTGGGGACTTATAAACATAGGGAGGTGGTGGTGAAGGAGATGGTGGTGGTGGGGACTTATAAACATAAGGAGGTGGTGGTGAGGGAGATGGAGGAGGTGGAGACTTGTAGACATAGGGAGGTGGTGGTGAGGGAGATGGTGGTGGTGGGGACTTATAAACATAGGGAGGTGGTGGTGAAGGAGATGGTGGTGGTGGGGACTTGTAAACATAGGGAGGTGGTGGTGAAGGAGATGGTGGTGGTGGGGACTTATAAACATAGGGAGGTGGTGGTGAAGGAGATGGTGGTGGTGGGGACTTATAAACATAAGGAGGTGGTGGTGAGGGAGATGGAGGAGGTGGAGACTTGTAGACATAGGGAGGTGGTGGTGAGGGAGATGGTGGTGGTGGGGACTTATAAACATAGGGAGGTGGTGGTGAAGGAGATGGTGGTGGTGGGGACTTGTAAACATAGGGAGGTGGTGGTGAAGGAGATGGTGGTGGTGGGGACTTATAAACATAGGGAGGTGGTGGTGAAGGAGATGGTGGTGGTGGGGACTTGTAAACATAGGGAGGTGGTGGTGAAGGAGATGGTGGTGGTGGGGACTTATAAACATAGGGAGGTGGTGGTGAAGGAGATGGTGGTGGTGGGGACTTATAAACATAAGGAGGTGGTGGTGAGGGAGATGGAGGAGGTGGAGACTTGTAGACATAGGGAGGTGGTGGTGAGGGAGATGGTGGTGGTGGGGACTTATAAACATAGGGAGGTGGTGGTGAAGGAGATGGTGGTGGTGGGGACTTATAAACATAAGGAGGTGGTGGTGAGGGAGATGGAGGAGGTGGAGACTTGTAGACATAGGGAGGTGGTGGTGAGGGAGATGGTGGTGGTGGGGACTTATAAACATAGGGAGGTGGTGGTGAAGGAGATGGTGGTGGTGGGGACTTGTAAACATAGGGAGGTGGTGGTGAAGGAGATGGTGGTGGTGGGGACTTATAAACATAAGGAGGTGGTGGTGAGGGAGATGGTGGTGGTGGGGACTTATAAACATAAGGAGGTGGTGGTGAGGGAGATGGAGGAGGTGGAGACTTGTAGACATAGGGAGGTGGTGGTGAGGGAGATGGTGGTGGTGGGGACTTATAAACATAGGGAGGTGGTGGTGAAGGAGATGGTGGTGGTGGGGACTTGTAAACATAGGGAGGTGGTGGTGAAGGAGATGGTGGTGGTGGGGACTTATAAACATAGGGAGGTGGTGGTGAAGGAGATGGTGGTGGTGGGGACTTATAAACATAAGGAGGTGGTGGTGAGGGAGATGGAGGAGGTGGAGACTTGTAGACATAGGGAGGTGGTGGTGAGGGAGATGGTGGTGGTGGGGACTTATAAACATAGGGAGGTGGTGGTGAAGGAGATGGTGGTGGTGGGGACTTGTAAACATAGGGAGGTGGTGGTGAAGGAGATGGTGGTGGTGGGGACTTATAAACATAGGGAGGTGGTGGTGAAGGAGATGGTGGTGGTGGGGACTTATAAACATAAGGAGGTGGTGGTGAGGGAGATGGAGGAGGTGGAGACTTGTAGACATAGGGAGGTGGTGGTGAGGGAGATGGTGGTGGTGGGGACTTATAAACATAGGGAGGTGGTGGTGAAGGAGATGGTGGTGGTGGGGACTTATAAACATAAGGAGGTGGTGGTGAGGGAGATGGAGGAGGTGGAGACTTGTAGACATAGGGAGGTGGTGGTGAGGGAGATGGTGGTGGTGGGGACTTATAAACATAGGGAGGTGGTGGTGAAGGAGATGGTGGTGGTGGGGACTTGTAAACATAGGGAGGTGGTGGTGAAGGAGATGGTGGTGGTGGGGACTTATAAACATAGGGAGGTGGTGGTGAGGGAGATGGTGGTGGTGGGGACTTATAAACATAAGGAGGTGGTGGTGAGGGAGATGGAGGTGGTGGGGACTTGTAAACATAGGGAGGTGGTGGTGAGGGAGATGGTGGTGGTGGGGACTTATAAACATAGGGAGGTGGTGGTGAGGGAGATGGAGGTGGTGGGGACTTATAAACATAGGGAGGTGGTGGTGAGGGAGATGGTGGTGGTGGGGACTTGTAAACATAGGGAGGTGGTGGTGAGGGAGATGGTGGTGGTGGAGATTTGTAGACATAGGGAGGTGGTGGTGAGGGAGATGGTGGAGGAGGGGACTTGTAAACATATGGCGGAGGTGTTGAAGGAGAGGGAGGGGGTGGTGACTTATAAACATAGGGTGGAGGTGGAGATTTGTAATAATATGGAGGGAATTTATCTACATAGGGAGGAGGTGGTGGTGATGGTGAAGGTGGAGGTGGAGATTGGTAGTAATAAGGACGTTTTTGGTATTGATACGGTGGTGTTGGGTGTGGATAGTAGTTGGATGGCTGGGCATAGTAAGGCTTATCATCATCAGCTTCAACACTGATAGCCATAAGGCAAAATGCAAATGCAAGGATCAGACGAGGCCACTGCCTCGTTCCCATCTTCTCTTGTTTGATTGTAAAAACTTAGCGATCTTCTTTTAAAACAGTTATGCTTTTTTCCTTTCTTCCTTCCCAAACCATGGATTGGATGCCTTTATATAGTGTTTGCCTTCGCTGATGGCTGGTAACATATCTTTGTTTAATCACTGACTGGCATCAACCTTGGAAAAATATATTTATATTATCTGAACATTTCAACTTTATGTTGTGGATTGCCATTAAACGATTTTTTAGTTTTGTATAACAGGGATTGAGAACAAAGTCAAGAAGAGAGTTGGTGATGGCATGGTTGAATGAACTTTGTTAGATTTAACCAAAGAATTTTGGAAGCGCGTCACAGCTGAGAATGCTAATTACTTCCTTTGCCTTTTGCAGAGGGCTGATAAAGTCCAACGCAACAGTTTCCCGAGTTCTTTGAGATGTCTTTTATTTATGATTGGCTTTGGTTTGTTTCTTTCCAATTGCCATTTTTTATGCTTAAATCGTCAGTGTAGATTCAGCTTATAAGACATCCTTTTGTATAGCTTAACTAACATGACTGGGTTAAAATTATATATGACTGTAGAATATTCTGATTGTGGCTTAAAAGAATAACTTAATTTCTGACTTGATTTATAATTACTCTTTGCATTTAAATGATATTAAACCTTTTAATTTTAAACAATATGACACTTTTGTCACCTATTGCCTTGCCTGGGATAAAAGATTAGTTTTTTAATGGATGAATTTAATATTATATTAAGAAATAAATTTTATAAAATCAATTTGTAAGAAGTTTACACATTCATTTATATATAATATGAAATTGTTTTATTTTTAATCAATGGAAAACTTCTAACATTCTTATTATTTCTATTTTCAGTTTTGTTGTTATTAATCTCATAGTATTCATTAAATAACTTTGTTTTTAATATGACAAGAATGTCTCAAATGTTTATGGTGAGTTATATTTAGAATATTTATCAATCATGCGACTTATGTTAGACATTTTAATTTGTCAAGAATGTCAAAAGATTCTTGAAATAATTTTCCGGGGAAAATATAAAAAAGGAATCTCTTTTCTTCTCTACATAAGATTAAAAAATCATTCATAATATTTTTTTCCGATTAACTGAACATACCCAAAAAAGCTAGTTTATACATGGACTATTTGCTTCCTCTGCGGTGCATGTTGGAACGTCTGTGTTGACATAATAGACATGTTGGGCATTTTGTTTGTTATCTTTCATTTTTCTAATAATTTTATAAAGACATATAGGGAGACAAAACATCATTTTATATTTGATATTTGTGTACTCCTTAACTGTCAGATTAAGAAAAAGAAATAGCTATGGCTGGGAAAGATGATAGACAATTTAATTTAGGAGATTATTCAACAAGTACTGAGATGTTGAATTTCAACAATATTGTTAGGCTAATGGTGAATACTGTCAATATGGAGATGAAACTTGTTCTTATTCATCTGATGTGGAACAATCAATTTAATAAATTATCTCATGAGAATTCATATACTCACTTGACTACATTCTTAGATATTTTAACACAATTAAGATCTACCTTCTGATGAAGCAATTTGTCAGAGTTTGTTTTCTTTTTCATTAGCAGGCAATGCAAAAGTGTGATTACACTCTTCTTTTCCTAATAATAGTCTAACTATATAGGATGAAGTTGTTACAAAATTTCTACACAAATTCTTCCCTCAGTCAAGTCAAGGGAAACAGGAAACAGGAAACTACTTCATTCTGCCAACGAATGTGATGAAACATTTATTCAAGCATGAAATAGATTCAAATGAATCATTATAAAAACTCCTCTTTATGGATTTGATGAGCCGCAGATCAATATCTTTTTGGCAAGATTGAAAGCGCAAACTTTTTCTTCTAAATATTTAAGAAGAAATTAATGCAAAAAATTATGTATTATTAAAAAAGATTGAAGAAGTGAAAGCAACAGTAAAAGGGACAGCTATTATCTGGTGGGGAGAAGTAATGAAATTATGAAGAAACATGCATAATTAGTTAAGCGAAGTATTCAAAAGTCGCATACATCAAATTTCATAAACAACACTTATAATCATACAAGTTCAACAGAAAATCGAAACACATTACAATCAACAAAGTTTTCGAACTCGTCATTTTACTTTTTCAAATCCAGAATTTGTTAAAAAACGAGACCACTATCTCAAATAAATTTAACTCGACAATATATTTGTCTGCTATGTTTGCATAAGAGAAAATATGGCCATGCGGTGGAACTGATCAAATTTAGAAATTCAAACAAATCCATAGGCAAGGCAATAAATAGGTGACAAAAGTGTCATTGTTTAAAATTAAAAGGTTTAATATCATTTAAATGCAAAGAGTAATTATAAATCAAGTCAAAAATTAAGTTATTCTTTTAAGCCACAATCAGAATATTCTTCAGTCATATATATAATTTTCACCGAGTCATGTTAGTTAAGCTATACAAAAGGATGTCTTATAAGCTGAATCTACACCGATGATTTAAGCATAAAAAATTGCAATTGGGAAGAAACAAACCAAAGCCAATCATAAATAAAAGACATCTCAAAGAATTCTGGCATGTGTTGCGTTTGACTTTATCAGCCCTCTGCAAAAGGCAAAGGAAGTAATCAGCATTCTCAGCCGTGACGCGCTTCCAAAATTCTTTGGTTAAATCTAACAAAAGTTCATTCAACCATGCCATCACCAACTCTCTGTTATATAAAACTATAAAATCGTTAAATGGCAAACCACAACATAAAGTTGAAATGTTCAGATAATATAAATATATTTTTTTCAAAGTTGATGCCAGACAGTGATCAAACAGAGATATGTTACCAGCCATCAGCGAAGGCAAAAACTATATAAAGGCCTCCAATCCATGGTTTGGGAAGCAAGAAAGGAAAAAAGCATAATAAGTGTTCTAAAAGAAGATCGCTAAGTTTTCACATTCAAAGAAGAGATGGGAACGAGGCAATGGCCTCGTCTGATCCTTACATTTGCATTTTGCCTTATGGCTATCAGTGTTGCTGCTGACGATGATAAGCCTAACTATGCCCAGCCATCCAACTACTATCCACACCCGACACCACCTTATCAATACCAAAAACCTCCTTATTACCACCAATCTTCACCTCCACATTCACCATCACCACCATCTCCTCCCTATGTAGATAAATTCCCTCCATATTATTACAAATCTCCACCTCCACCCTATGTTTATAAGTCTCCACCACCTCCATCTCCCTCACCACCACCTCCTTATGTTTATAAGTCCCCACCACCACCATCTCCTTCACCACCACCTCCCTATGTTTATAAGTCCCCACCACCACCATCTCCTTCACCACCACCTCCCTATGTTTATAAGTCCCCACCACCACCATCTCCCTCACCACCACCTCCCTATGTCTACAAGTCTCCACCTCCTCCATCTCCCTCACCACCACCTCCTTATGTTTATAAGTCCCCACCACCACCATCTCCTTCACCACCACCTCCCTATGTTTACAAGTCCCCACCACCACCATCTCCTTCACCACCACCTCCCTATGTTTATAAGTCCCCACCACCACCATCTCCCTCACCACCACCTCCCTATGTCTACAAGTCTCCACCACCTCCATCTCCCTCACCACCACCTCCTTATGTTTATAAGTCCCCACCACCACCATCTCCTTCACCACCACCTCCCTATGTTTATAAGTCCCCACCACCACCATCTCCTTCACCACCACCTCCCTATGTTTATAAGTCCCCACCACCACCATCTCCCTCACCACCACCTCCCTATGTCTACAAGTCTCCACCACCTCCATCTCCCTCACCACCACCTCCTTATGTTTATAAGTCCCCACCACCACCATCTCCTTCACCACCACCTCCTTATGTTTATAAGTCCCCACCACCACCATCTCCTTCACCACCACCTCCCTATGTTTATAAGTCCCCACCACCACCATCTCCTTCACCACCACCTCCCTATGTTTATAAGTCTCCACCACCACCACCTCCCTATGTCTACAAGTCCCCACCACCTCCATCTCCCTCACCACCACCTCCCTATGTCTACAAGTCTCCACCACCTCCATCTCCCTCACCACCACCTCCTTATGTTTATAAGTCCCCACCACCACCATCTCCTTCACCACCACCTCCTTATGTTTATAAGTCCCCACCACCACCATCTCCTTCACCACCACCTCCCTATGTTTATAAGTCCCCACCACCACCATCTCCTTCACCACCACCTCCCTATGTTTATAAGTCCCCACCACCACCATCTCCTTCACCACCACCTCCCTATGTTTATAAGTCCCCACCACCACCATCTCCTTCACCACCACCTCCCTATGTTTATAAGTCCCCACCACCACCATCTCCTTCACCACCACCTCCCTATGTTTATAAGTCCCCACCACCACCATCTCCCTCACCACCACCTCCCTATGTCTACAAGTCTCCACCACCTCCATCTCCCTCACCACCACCTCCTTATGTTTATAAGTCCCCACCACCACCATCTCCTTCACCACCACCTCCCTATGTTTATAAGTCCCCACCACCACCATCTCCTTCACCACCACCTCCCTATGTTTATAAGTCCCCACCACCACCATCTCCTTCACCACCACCTCCCTATGTTTATAAGTCCCCACCACCACCATCTCCTTCACCACCACCTCCCTATGTTTATAAGTCCCCACCACCACCATCTCCCTCACCACCACCTCCCTATGTCTACAAGTCTCCACCACCTCCATCTCCCTCACCACCACCTCCTTATGTTTATAAGTCCCCACCACCACCATCTCCTTCACCACCACCTCCCTATGTTTATAAGTCCCCACCACCACCATCTCCTTCACCACCACCTCCCTATGTTTATAAGTCCCCACCACCACCATCTCCTTCACCACCACCTCCCTATGTTTATAAGTCCCCACCACCACCATCTCCTTCACCACCACCTCCCTATGTTTACAAGTCCCCACCACCACCATCTCCCTCACCACCACCTCCCTATGTCTACAAGTCTCCACCACCTCCATCTCCCTCACCACCACCTCCTTATGTTTATAAGTCCCCACCACCACCATCTCCTTCACCACCACCTCCCTATGTTTATAAGTCCCCACCACCACCATCTCCTTCACCACCACCTCCCTATGTTTATAAGTCCCCACCACCACCATCTCCCTCACCACCACCTCCCTATGTCTACAAGTCTCCACCTCCTCCATCTCCCTCACCACCACCTCCTTATGTTTATAAGTCCCCACCACCACCATCTCCTTCACCACCACCTCCTTATGTTTATAAGTCCCCACCACCACCATCTCCTTCACCACCACCTCCCTATGTTTATAAGTCCCCACCACCACCATCTCCTTCACCACCACCTCCCTATGTTTATAAGTCCCCACCACCACCATCTCCTTCACCACCACCTCCCTATGTTTATAAGTCCCCACCACCACCATCTCCCTCACCACCACCTCCCTATGTCTACAAGTCTCCACCACCTCCATCTCCCTCACCACCACCTCCTTATGTTTATAAGTCCCCACCACCACCATCTCCTTCACCACCACCTCCCTATGTTTATAAGTCCCCACCACCACCATCTCCTTCACCACCACCTCCCTATGTTTATAAGTCCCCACCACCACCATCTCCTTCACCACCACCTCCCTATGTTTATAAGTCCCCACCACCACCATCTCCTTCACCACCACCTCCCTATGTTTATAAGTCCCCACCACCACCATCTCCCTCACCACCACCTCCCTATGTCTACAAGTCTCCACCACCTCCATCTCCCTCACCACCACCTCCTTATGTTTATAAGTCCCCACCACCACCATCTCCTTCACCACCACCTCCTTATGTTTATAAGTCCCCACCACCACCATCTCCTTCACCACCACCTCCCTATGTTTATAAGTCCCCACCACCACCATCTCCTTCACCACCACCTCCCTATGTTTATAAGTCCCCACCACCACCATCTCCTTCACCACCACCTCCCTATGTTTATAAGTCCCCACCACCACCATCTCCTTCACCACCACCTCCCTATGTTTATAAGTCCCCACCACCACCATCTCCCTCACCACCACCTCCCTATGTCTACAAGTCTCCACCACCTCCATCTCCCTCACCACCACCTCCTTATGTTTATAAGTCCCCACCACCACCATCTCCTTCACCACCACCTCCCTATGTTTATAAGTCCCCACCACCACCATCTCCTTCACCACCACCTCCCTATGTTTATAAGTCCCCACCACCACCATCTCCTTCACCACCACCTCCCTATGTTTATAAGTCCCCACCACCACCATCTCCCTCACCACCACCTCCCTATGTCTACAAGTCTCCACCACCTCCATCTCCCTCACCACCACCTCCTTATGTTTATAAGTCCCCACCACCACCATCTCCTTCACCACCACCTCCCTATGTTTATAAGTCCCCACCACCACCATCTCCTTCACCACCACCTCCCTATGTTTATAAGTCCCCACCACCACCATCTCCCTCACCACCACCTCCCTATGTCTACAAGTCTCCACCACCTCCATCTCCCTCACCACCACCTCCTTATGTTTATAAGTCCCCACCACCACCATCTCCTTCACCACCACCTCCCTATGTTTATAAGTCCCCACCACCACCATCTCCTTCACCACCACCTCCCTATGTTTATAAGTCCCCACCACCACCATCTCCTTCACCACCACCTCCCTATGTTTATAAGTCCCCACCACCACCATCTCCTTCACCACCACCTCCCTATGTTTATAAGTCCCCACCACCACCATCTCCTTCACCACCACCTCCCTATGTTTATAAGTCCCCACCACCACCATCTCCCTCACCACCACCTCCCTATGTCTACAAGTCTCCACCACCTCCATCTCCCTCACCACCACCTCCTTATGTTTATAAGTCCCCACCACCACCATCTCCTTCACCACCACCTCCCTATGTTTATAAGTCCCCACCACCACCATCTCCTTCACCACCACCTCCCTATGTTTATAAGTCCCCACCACCACCATCTCCCTCACCACCACCTCCCTATGTCTACAAGTCTCCACCACCTCCATCTCCCTCACCACCACCTCCTTATGTTTATAAGTCCCCACCACCACCATCTCCTTCACCACCACCTCCCTATGTTTATAAGTCCCCACCACCACCATCTCCTTCACCACCACCTCCCTATGTTTATAAGTCCCCACCACCACCATCTCCCTCACCACCACCTCCCTATGTCTACAAGTCCCCACCACCTCCATCTCCCTCACCACCACCTCCTTATGTTTATAAGTCCCCACCACCACCATCTCCTTCACCACCACCTCCTTATGTTTATAAGTCCCCACCACCACCATCTCCTTCACCACCACCTCCCTATGTTTATAAGTCCCCACCACCACCATCTCCTTCACCACCACCTCCTTATGTTTATAAGTCCCCACCACCACCATCTCCTTCACCACCACCTCCTTATGTTTATAAGTCCCCACCACCACCATCTCCTTCACCACCACCTCCCTATGTTTATAAGTCCCCACCACCACCATCTCCTTCACCACCACCTCCCTATGTTTATAAGTCCCCACCACCACCATCTCCTTCACCACCACCTCCCTATGTTTATAAGTCCCCACCACCACCATCTCCCTCACCACCACCTCCCTATGTCTACAAGTCTCCACCTCCTCCATCTCCCTCACCACCACCTCCTTATGTTTATAAGTCCCCACCACCACCATCTCCTTCACCACCACCTCCCTATGTTTACAAGTCCCCACCACCACCATCACCCTCACCACCACCTCCCTATGTTTATAAGTCTCCACCTCCACCATCACCTTCACCTCCCCCACCTTACGTCTACAAATCCCCACCACCGCCATCTCCCCCTCCTCCACCTACATATGTTTATAAGTCACCTCCCCCACCATCACCTTCACCACCTCCCCCATATTACTACAAGTCTCCACCCCCACCTTCTCCCTCTCCTCCTCCTCCTCCACCTTCTCCACCTCCTCCCTATGTATATAAGTCTCCTCCTCCACCTTCTCCCTCGCCTCCTCCACCATACTATTAGAAGTCACCACCACCTCCTTCTCCTTCTTCACCACCACCATATTACTACAAGTTTCCACCACCATATTACTACAAGTTTCCACCCCCGCCTCCTATCTATTAAGCTTGCGGCTAAATCAATATCAATTTTTTCATTATGTTCAACATTGTTGCCATTAATTTGTAACGCTATGAATTTCTTGATAATAAGCCCTGCACTGAAGTAATCCTTCTTTGGATATACTGTAGCCATGCTTGTTTATTGTTGTCAGTTCAGAAGTGTGCCTTAATCTCTTTCTCCAATATACATTTACTATCATACTTTATTCTTGGTTTTCATTCTCCTCTTTGCACTTTGAAGTTATGAGAATGGCATTCGTGAAACATTGATAAATGGAAACTTTCTCATTCACAGCTTCTTCTCCATCTCTACACGTGCAGACATATATGTGAGCTCGATCATAAATGTAGTCACTATCAAACAAAGTTTCTGAACAGAGGCTTTAGAGAAGCTTAAATTCAAATATAACTACTGAAAAATAAAAGAAGTGTCACATAATTCCAATCCTTAAAGCTTTCCTCCAATACACAAAGTTTTCCTCCTAACAGGAAAATTAAGTGTAAGTACAGATGGTGTTTAACATTTATTGCATAATGTTCACTGGAATCTGATAAAGCACAATAAAATTCTTGTTATAGAAAATGAACAAATCGTACAATGACTATTAACAATTATGCCCTAAATAACCAGGGGGCAAATGTTGTGTATATGCCATCAAAATGAACTTACATCGATTGAAGAAGCAGTCCCCAGAAAAAAATGGATGGAAAGAGCCCACAACAATGGAGGAACCTACAATCCATCCAATCCCAAAACTCTGTAAAAGAGATTAAAATGATAGTTTTTAATAACCATTACATTAGACAATTCTGAAAGAGAGTATAACTTTTTGAAGGTTAGATCGACATTTCAGAGAAAAGAAAATCGAATTCTAACAACGGTAAGGCCATAGACCAGATGAAATATATATTAAAATGAAATGACTTTGAATTCTTACTTTGTAACAATCCCAGGCAGGGGGGAACTCTAGTAGTATCACAAAAGTACATACACATTGAAAGAAAGCAGACTGTTTATGAAAAATTTTCATTGATTCTCTTTCTATTTCAGATATTAAAAAGAGAATGGAACAAACAAAAACTGGAAATAAATCCAAATACATATCTAAAATTATACTGAATAATTGACTAATATATTAATGTAGAAACTAATTGGTTCCTTGAACATACTATAAACGAGGAACATCAAATAGGAGTCATGTTGTGCATTACAAAGAGGACAATGTTAGATATAATACAAGAATCAAACATGATGCAGTGAGAATGACATCAGCTCCAAAAGAATACTCTCTTGATGCCAATGGGCGATATGGTTTGTTTATCTGCAATACAACATTTGGCAAAGATCAATATTCGTTCCTCGAACTAAAATTTGGTATGCATATTATGTATCCTAATACCACTGTTGAATATTTTTGACTGAGATACACCAAAGAGATTGAGCATCTCTAAATTATGAGTTTTTTATACAAATGTAACGAGACTTTCAACTCATAATTAGATTCCTAACAATAATAACATATGACTCTGATATTTCTCATGTTTTTCATCACTTATCAAGTTGAATAAGAAATATTTCTAATTTATATTGAAATTTATAAAAAAAATAAAAATATTATGGAAGAAAGAGTTGCATTGGCTCACTTCAAAACGCTTAATTTAATTTTTAAAACTCAAATTTAGTATTGTTTGACCAAAAGTCCTGAAAGAAAAAAAGTAGTGATGTACTACTTAGCATATTGTCCATTAGTGTTAATAAGTTTCATACCTTGTCTATTTCAACATCAGTTAAATGATTCAAGCCTATAACCGCTCTTGAAGCAGCAGCTACTTCGGCCTGAAATAGAATGATAAAAAAATCTAGTTATTATGCTCAAAGGTACTAGTAAATTTAAGTAAAGTAGCAAAAATCATGCATTAATAAGGTCTTTTTAAGACCAACAGAGTTAAGTTCCCACCTGGAACAAGCCAATGAAATATGTTAGAGAAATATCTCATAACTTCTCTACTGCAAGGAGAGACATAGAAGTTATGCTTATTGCCCGTAAAAACAAAAAACAACTTAATTAAGTAAAGTGATTCAAAAAAACATTACAAATTTTCTTTTATAGAATACGAGGTTCATGCAAAAGAATTTATTGATATTATTTGACTAAATAATTTCACAGGAGAAAGAAAAGGATTTGATTTAACTGTGCCAATGAGTACGTATGGATTGGAAAACCTGGTAAATACATCCAAGTAATATTTGACAGAGTACCGAAAGGGTTTTGGAAAATGTTGAGGTTTAGCAGATTGAAATGATTCTCCAGAGTCGGCGTTCGCAACATGACTCCTTGCACGTTGGTGAAATGTGGATCCAACTTGTACGATTGAAGATCAACTGGTATCTTCAACTCTTCCTTCAGCCAAAGCAAAAATTTCAATTAAAATCAGAAACCCTGATGCTAAGAAGACGAAAACGAACACATCAAACTAATACCTTAATCGATAAATATAGGGTTATAGAAATAGAGAAGAGAAGTTGTATAGAGTCATGCTCCATTCAACAAAACACATGGCAACATACCTTAACTCAATCACGTTGCAGCTTTCACCGGCACCACTCGAATGAAACAAATTGCAAACGGAAAAGAAGATCTGCACGATTGCAGAAGAAACGCACCTTTGTCGTTGAGAGCTACGGTGATGGATGCAGATTAATGAATGGAGCTATCGTTGAGAGCTATACGTGATGAATTTCAGAGCGTTATGCGATGGATTTTAGAGTGTTATTTCAAAGGAGAAGACGAAAGAAATTTGCTTTACATGGGCGCCAATTCTTTTAATTTTTAAAATAATAATAAGCCATAGATAATTTTTTTTAAGTAGAAGTGATATCTCAAAAAGGATAATAATAATTAGGGAACATTTTTTTTATAATATTTTAATATCATCTACGTGAATGATCCAAAATTATTTTATAATCAATAAGAATAACCATAAACTTCAACATGAACCAATCCTCGAACCACACCGGAATGAGAGGGATCTGGAGACTGTGTAGGTATGGGACTATACAGTTGAAGGATAGCTTAAAAGGGATTGATTTGGCTACTCATATCACCAAAATGCATTTACTTTTCAGTAGCCTGACTCATAAGAACTCCATAGTTAAGCGTGCTTAGCCTGGAGCAACGGTCCCTGTGAGTTGCCGGGACGTTACAGATGCACACGTAAATGATGTTAAAATATTGTTAAAAAAATATTATTAAAATATCTATTTAAATATAAAAATGTTTTTTTATTGATCAGTCCAAATATAAATAACTTTTTTTTAAAAAGAACTTATCTATTAATACCTTAATAAATAACATTTAAATATAAAAGCACTATACAACATCTACTTCCTACTTATTTAATCATGTTTGATTTGAGTAGCATATAATTTACTTTTGGATTATTTTTGGCAAAATTCAAGACTGTAAATAAATGCATAACACATCCACAGGAACCCTAGATGTTGAGAAGCTGAGATTCCAAAAAAGTTTATATATTTATTGTACATATCCATGTTGTTTTCCGTTTTCACTTTCTAAAAGATAAAAACGTAAACAAAATAATTCATGTGTGCATGTTGCATAAGCATAGACTTTGACACAGTAGACAAGCCTGCAAGAACACTCTAACATAATATATTTCTGTTTAAAAATAACTCATGAATATTAACATATTGGAAGGCAGAAGAACTATGATAATATATTTAAATTGATTATCAATGTTTGATGGTGTTTTTCACTTAGATTTTTTTGGTTTTTGCTGATGCAAGAGGGATAAGTATTTGCTCTTCTTTTCTAGATTGGTTATGCAAACAGCAATTGGCCTCTTGTTCTTACGTTGTTTGGCAACTTAGACTTCTATAGTTGTCAATCCCAGTAATGTTTTCATCTCTTTTTAAAAAAAAATTGTTGTATTTGACTTTTCATGCTGGAAAATGACATTGTGCTATATGATGTACCCTTCTTTCTTAACAATATTCATTTTTCTCACATGGTTAACCTTTTATATTTTTCTTATTATAATAATGAGTTTCACCAAATATAATATTTTTATTTTGTTAACCTGTGAGAAATGTTCTTTTTAGTACTTGTATTATATTAATTTTACTTTTTCTCGAGATTAAGATATAAGTACTTTGTAATAACATATATATATATTATTAAATAAAGTTTTAGGATATTCTATCCTATATATAAAAGTACGTAGAGAGTATTTGATTAAAAATTTAAAGAATATATATGAAACGATTTATTTAGATAAAAAAATATTATACAACTTAAACAACACTTTCCAATAATGTTAATAAATATCTTGGTCATGAGTTTTTTATAATAACAACAAAATTCGATATTATTTAATTAAAAATCTTATAAATTATAAAAATTATATTGACAGTAAAAATTTATAAATTTTATTGAACCGTCTTAGATTTTCCGTTACGGATTTAATCAGTAAATCAAAATCCTGATCAGGGTTGTTGTTATATCTTTAAAAACATATTTAAGATAGGTAATTTGTTCAATATGTAAGCTTGTAATAATTCTACGGTGTTTTGTTATGAATGAAAACATTTCATCTTTGCAATCTCGTTTTCCTTTTCTCTTCTCCTCTATAATTTGACTCCCAACTTTATATTCACCCCGTTAAATCAATAAAAAAAAAAATCCAATACCCACCTTTAAATTCATAGAATATATAAGAACACAGAGAAGGAAAACGGAAACAGCAAGAAGAAAATATGAAATTGGATAAAAGAAATTAAAACAAACTTAATCATTAAATAACACAGATCACTGATACATATATATATGAGTAAAACACGAGTACATCCATAACATGCAACACTGATACATATATAATTACTGAATGGAAAACTTGAAACAGCTTAAACCCCTAGCTTAATACACAAGTGGCAGGGATCAGACGTAAAATAATAATAGTTGTTGAAGACTGGCAGTAATGGATGAGGTGAAGGTGACAGAGGAGGAGTTGAATTATAGACGTAACGGGGGAGGCGGCGAGAGAGATGGTGGGGGTGGAGATTTCTATTTATAGGGAGGAGACTGTGGTGGTTTGTATTCATACGGAGGTGATGATGGGGGCTTGTATTCTGGATATGTGGGTTTATAATAATACGGTGGTGGCTTGTATTCATACGGAGGAGGTGAGTAGTTGTTGTATGGAGGTTTGTAGTAATATGGAGGTGGTTTGTATTCGTATGGAGGAGGTGAGTAGTTGTTGTATGGAGGTTTGTAGTAATATGGTGGTGGCTTGTATTCATACGGAGGAGGTGAGTAGTTGTTGTATGGAGGTTTGTAGTAATATGGAGGTGGCTTGTATTCATACGGAGGAGGTGAGTAGTTGTTGTATGGAGGTTTGTAGTTATATGGAGGTGGCTTGTATTCATATCGTGGAGGTGGTGGAGATTTGTAGTAATATGGAGGATATTTGGGTTCATAATATGGAGGGTATTTGGGTTTATAGTAAGGAGGTGGAGATTTGTAGTAATATGGATCATAATTAGGAGGGTATTTGGGGTCATATGGTTTGTAATATGGATTGTTGTATGGTTGGCCTCCACCATAGTAAGGATAGCCATCAGCAGCAACCATGGTAGAAATTATGCAGAAGACTACACCATAGATGAGTGCCTCACCTGAGATTTCCATTCTCTACTTCCCTAGTCTGTGCCTTTTCCAAGATAGACTAATGAATTTCTGTTTTACTTGGAATTCGAGTAAGGATTGTACTCCCTTATATAGTACTCGTACCAGCTTCTATCGAAACTGGGATGATTTCTTTATTTGGATTCATTGCTTTATGTAATGTATAAAACCAGATTTCTGTCAGTTTTTTATTTCAACTTGAACACAACAAAGTCAATAAGCTTGAGGATGTTGGTGATGTCATATCTGAACAAGTACTCGAAAGATTATCAAAGGTTAATTAATATATACCAAGTGATTTTATATTTTAAGCCATTGTAGTGGATTTCAGACTGAAAGCTCAGGCAGGTTTATTGTAACACAAAATTGCCGAGTCTAGAAATTTAGATTGACTGAGTAAATTTCTGTGATGCTATATTACCTATATATTAACTTGTTTAATTAGTTTACTTGTAACATACATATCGGATTTTGTTAATGATCCAATAAGACTAAGGCAACTCGTTGATTACTTAAATTAACATATTGCTTGCTTGACTTGTGTTTCTTCCTCATTTGATTAGCCTTTCTAACTACCAGATTTGAATCACTCCCATTCTCCTTTTGCTTTTCTCAGTTTTAGTAAATTAGCTATATTAGTCAAAACTCGTGTGATTAATTTCCTGTTACATTGTGTAGCTTGTCATTTTCTTCTGTTAACCAGATTGCAAATTCATAAGGTAGAACTTCTTTTCAGAGTGTTTGATCAATTCATATGTAGTAGTTATATTGATGTTACAAATGTTAGTTTATAATAGGGAGGCAAGACATTTTCTTAGATTATGAAGGTCGTGTGATTTTGGAGCTCAACGCTTGCACCATTGCTGCACTTGCTGACTTAAATTCCTTACATCACAAGGGCAATATATCATTACATTATGGGACGAACGAGCATAATGGTTGAAAAAGTCCTTTAGTTAGATTTTCAACTTATTTGCCGAAAACTAAAAGGGACTTATTATTTAATTATATATATTTGCCGAAAATCGTTGAACAACTAGGGATTTTATGAGAAGTTATTTTCAGTAGTGCTTCTGTGGAAGCAACGTACGAAAATGATTTACGATTCTGATAAAAGAAATTTTAACAAGAAAAATGAACTTTTGGAGCAAACAGTGAATGATTGTAGAAACACCGGTTATCAGAAGAAAAGAGGAATGCACCTAAAATCTTCTAACAATGGAGGTTTGTCCAAATCATACAAGTTAATTTTAGGGTTTGAGTGTATAACTTGGCTGTTTCTAAGTTATTTTCATGTCTCAATAAACGATTGATAATTCTATTAAGGTGAGCTGAAATTCTTCCATCCATTAAAACTGACAAAATTCAGTAATATATTAAAAGAAAATACAGTTACAAACATTAAATTTTAAAATATTTAAATTTGATTTTTTTAAACTATTATACAAAAATTATGTTTTGTAACAAATGTGGTATGAGAAGTATTTTTTATGTGACAAAAAAGAATTTCATATTGGATAATATAATATCTGTAGATCATTTGCCGAGAGGATTTAACATCACTTTCATAAAGTTTAGGATAAAATAGTTTATAATTTAAAATAGGAACAAAACACACTTTTTTAATTAATGATAATTTGAAAATAAAAAACATACTTAATTCATTTTAAAATTGTGTTTAAATTGTATCGCGTATCACAATTTATACCAACATAAATATCTTAAGTGTATACCTTATATATATATTTCTCAATTATTCTAGTATTAAATATATGAGGGTGATTTCGGAACAACATACAAATTATGACAAATTTATTGTTTTTAATTAATTTAACTAATTTTCTAAAGGTTGTGAATTGGTTGAAAATATTGTAATCTTTGATGTCAGTGTGTCTTGCTAGTTATAAATAAGGTCACCGTTGAGAGAAAAATAAATTTTAAATTATAATGAATTTTATTTCGATTTTTTAATGATAGATTTCCTTATATATGAACCAAATAAATAAAAGATAAACAGATTATATTACCACTCCGGATGAGACCATTTCCAAAATTGAACCGTGCTATAGAATCAGTGAAGTTATTCTGTTATAAATTAGCTACCTGATTAGAGAGAGTGAAAGTTCCGATGTCTAACCTTTAACTTTCTCTAAATCTTGTATTGATAACCCAGTTTTGTTTGCTATTGTCTACGGGGCTACCACTTACACATACAAAGTAACTATCCAAGAGCTTCGTTGATCCTAAAGACTTCGATTATGTCTCATGAAAAGAACGGTGGTTACTAAAAAGTGATTTTAAGCCTAACTCATCCATACAAAATCAGTTTATATGGTGAGGTTTGTACCTCACTTATATATTATAAATTAGTTTTATCTCTAGTCAATGTGAGATATCCAATACAACTTCTTCATGTCGAGGTATAGATAGAGCAGTCAAAACGGGTAATCCAGCTCGACCCAATCCGGCCCATCACGGGTTGGTCACTTAATGAGCTAACCTAATCCGGCTCATTTATTAGCGAGCCGAAAAATTTGAACCCGACCCGACCCATTACGGGTTGGTGGGTTAAACAGGTTGACTCATTGGCTCACTTAACTTTTTTCACCCTCATCTTCTGAGATTCTTATAATATGTTATTTTGATCGATCAAATTGAAACAGTAATAACTAGACCAATTGATATAAAAGAAAATGAAACAAAAAAACTCTATTTGTTATATATTCTAAGTTCTTAAGTATAAAATTTTGTCAATTTAGTTTAATGAGACATACACAACCGTTTGACCAAGAAACTACATATAGTCGTTAACAAAAATATATAGCAGAGGGGAACTTTTGGATAGGCACCGTAGCACGAAAAACTCTACTGCGAAGTAAAGGTTGTGCTTTTTGAATAATTAATTTAATTAATTTGATTTCAATAAAAAAAATAGATGGGTTGGTGAGCCAACCCGACTCACCACAGGTTCAACTCGGGTGAGCCAAGTTCTTAGCGAGCCGGGTCAAAATTGGCTTGCATCAAAATTTTCATATTTTTTTCTAACCCAACCCGGCTCAAACCCGTGGTGAGCCGGGTTGGCTCACAGATTTCAACCCATTTTGATGGCATTAGGTATAGACATCTCGAGCGTGAGAGTAGAAATAATGGGTGGTCCGATAGTGACCCGACAACAGGTGGAACATAATGCCCACAAAGATCTCGTTAGGAAAGACTCAAACCATGACTCTGGTACCATATTAGAAAGTGATTTTAAGTCTAACTCAACTCCACAAAATTGATTTGAATGGTGAGTTTTGCATATATATTATAATTTGGAACCCATCAATTCTACTCACGCTCGAGATGTCTATACCTCGACGTAAAGGAAGGTGTTGAAAATCTCACATCGATTAGAGATAAGACCAATTTATAATATATAATTGAGGTGGAAACCTCACCAAATATATCAAAATTTGAGATGAAATCTAATTTTGTATCAATAGGAAAACTAAAAATATATTTAACTTAATTAATTAATTAAACGTTTGACTTGTGTTACTTTTGAATACTCTAATAATTTTGTTTTCTTTTTATTTCTCTTACTTTCGTTAAAAGATAAATACGAAATACATTTTATATTTTTAAAGTATTAATTATATTTGTTTTATTTAACTTCTTATAAATATGGCTGAAAATATAACATTCTCTTTCAAATAATTTTCATAACCTAACTTGGTTGGAGTTAGTTATTCCTTTTGTATGTGTAATCAAATTTTCTTTTACATAAATAATAAATGCATTTTTTCTTAATTTTAATAAAATATGTATAAGATATTATACTGTACCTTTTTAACTGTCAACTAATTAACCAAAGATTAAATGAATGATAAAATAATAATTAATTTTGTTTTCATACATAAAAATATTTTTAAAAAAATACTATAAAGGAACATAATGAATATAAAATAAGTATAGAAAAGTTATAAAAGAAGTCATGCTCTTATACTTAATAAGAATAAAGATATAATTTAGTTCATAATAGTAATTATTTTAAAATAATTCTATTTTAAAATTATCATAATTTTTTTTTACACATTAAGATTAACAATAAATATGTTATTTTTTTTAAATAACCATACACTTTCAATAAATGTGACTGAAAATAATTAATTTAAGATCAATTTGGGAAAAAAACAATGATTGGTCACACATAGTCCATTTAATGTTTAAAAAAAGTAGAAAGGGAAATAAGCACTTTAAAATAAATGTGTTTTCAATGATACTCATTCTCTTTTAATAATGATTAATCATTATAACTTTTTTTGTTCAGTTAAAAATATCCACTATAAAAAATAAAAAATGCAAAACATATTAAGAAGAATAATATACATTTTTAATTTATGTCTTAAATAATAATTTGTGTATATTTTTAAACTTTTTTTATTTTAGTTTTTTCTTAAAAAAACTTTAAATTTATTTAAAAATATTTATCACTATATAAAATACAATTTTAACTTTTTAAATATATTTTGAGTTCCTTAACTTTCATCTCAAATAGATTTAATCCCTAAATTATGATGCAAAATTAAGTTTAGTCTCTGTTCTAAATTTTGATAGTGTAGTCATCAAACTTTAGAAATAAATGTTGTCACATGTGTAACATATAAACATAAATGTGTCAATCCATATTAGCAAATCATTAACATCGTTTAATAATAAAAATTATATTTATTATTTTTAAAATTTAGAAACTAAACATTATCAAAGTTTAAAAAGGAAACACTATCAAAGTTTTGAAACAAAAATAAAATTTAATTTCACGTTATAATTTAAAAACTAAATATATTTTATTCTTAAAATATTAACTTCAAGTACACAAGAGAAGTCACTGCACGTAAATAGCATAACCTAAAGTTAAAGGTTCCTGTGTGTATAACATAACTAACTTCCATAAAATACATACAAATTAACAAAAAAGAAGAAGAGACGCGAACAATGTTTATCGTTAACCTAAAGCGACAACACCTAAGTAACAACTCCAAATAATACTAATTTCAGTCTAAGTTGAAAGAACTAAACGTTTTCTAATAGTATTCATCACAAATACAAACATTAGAAGATACATATCACCACATATAACGGAAAACACATCCTCATGACATTAAACGATCTACAAACTTTAACAAAATTTGAATGATCAGATTTTTCATAACATTTATACTCCATTCTCATTGAATTCATTCCAAAGATTATTTGATGTAACTTCTTCAAACATTAAGTTACACAATTTAATGTTTCATTTTTACCCTATTAAGTGTTCATTAAATTTTGTACCCAAACAACATTAATTTTCTGGTAACAAATATTTGCCATGATAAGGTTGAGAGTTACTGCTTGTGTAATCATAAGCGAAAGTTTGTCTGAGCAGACAGCATTGATTATTTCCGTCACATTTGTAGTATGGCACAACTCAAACATCAGGAGTAAATGCCTATTTGTCTACAAAGATGGTTTGCGGCTTTTCTTGTAATCTAAATAAACGGTGGACTTATTTAAAGCAATCCACTTCATCACTATTATAATGGCCAGGTGCTGCAATGTCCAATGACCTGACGCACTCGGTAATTCTCTAAAGAAGCTTTCATAAAACCGGCGAATGCCTTTCCAACAACACTGTATCAGTAGCATGAGGGAATAATTATGTGAAATCATAGCACACTGTATTAAACATTATGAAAACATACCGTAATCCAACCTCTTCAGTACAACCATGATAATTGATACATGTTCACTCATATTCTTTTATAACACTTTAGGATTCTCTCTGTAATAATTTTTCTAAAACCCAGGGCTTACTTACCTCACTAAGAAAAGGTAAAAACAAATAAAAATGTATTTCTATGAAAGACCTCCACATTAAAGGAAAAACAGAAACATATGCAGGTCACTTATCCGCTGCTAGATTATTTGTGCTTTGACTTGTCGGCAAACACTTCTGTGTAACATATTGGGCAAGCCTGAAAATATAAGCCCAAGAGGAAAAGCAAAAGAATATCAGCAGACGTGAAAATTAGCACTAAAAGCACTTACTGAGTTCATTATAAAATGGTAAATATCTTACCTTATTGATGCTGAGCCATCTGTTCCCACAACTAGCGTGATAAAGATGTTTACATGGCAAGGTGATACGCTTGTCCCCTCTTTTATATTCCATCTGGCAAATCACACATCTAAACAAGAAGATCAAGTCAGATCAATTAGCTAGGAGAACGCACGTTTTAACTTCAAAGCACGCAACAGACATAATACACGTAATTTTTAAGTTAATTCCCATCTGGACGTTTCCATTTCCAAATTATACTGCTGTAGCTGGATTCCTGAAGGAAGATTGCTGTACGATAGTCCACCATTTATTCATTTTATTTTACATAGACTTGGTTCTCATTTACAGATCATGCCAGACAAAATTCTTTGATAAGCTTAGTAGCAACAATCTAAAAGTCCTGAATATCAATTTGGACCAAGAAATACAACAACTGTTTATAAAAATTACTCAATCATGTACAAGTGGAATTCAAGAATAACAAGCAGAAACAAGGATTTTGAAAGCTAGACACTCGACAATATATATTAAATCATAGGAGAATAAAACCAACAACTGCATTAAAACATAGTGTCCATAAACCAAATATTACCTCTCACCCCGAGACTTCTTCCTCAAGAAGAACCCACATTTGAACTTCGACACTGGGAGTGAGGAGATCTGTTCTTGGGTGAGACCACGGCTCTGAGTTCCGACAGCTTCACCTAATTCAAGTAGTTCCTGCAATAAATGATACCATATTGATGTTGAAAAATAATAAACTCAAAAATATGAGGAGTGTTTTACTTCCACCATTTTTCAAATTGCCATCTAGAAAGATGTTCACTTACTATAATGATTTATGATCACACAACCATTTGACACATTTAATTGAAAAACACTTTGAACTGATACAATTTTCTATATAAATGTTACCTCTTTTAGCTTTTACGAATTGCAATTAAAATATGTAATGTAATCAGCTCATAAGGACACATAATTAGCTGTGAGAATTTTATGAAATGATTTGGCCTACCAATACTTTCCAAGAGTAACAATCTCCACTTAGAATAATGTACCGTGAAGCATAAAATAACGGAAGACATAAAAATAAATGAGTAACCTATGTCCGACTCCTTAGACAAATAATTACAAGATTGACTTTGTATATATTTTGAAGACTGACTCCGAAGTAATCAAATATATAGTAGCTGTACTTAAGGAAACACTATATAATGCCAAGAAAAAGAAGGAATCGGGGACTCTCAATCCAACCTCATAGGTCATGTTGTCGGGATCAATATTGTCTTGCCAAATGACCTGCACAATTTCACAAAATGCCTAGTCAGATAACCATTTATTGTGCTTCAAACTGATGAATGGCTAAAGTTACTGTATAAACTTCTTAGATGTTCGTAGCACTAAACCATTTCAGGCACCAGGAATCTTGAAGGCAAAATACCTGATAATCACTTGAATTACTGTGATGTCTTCGAGGACCTGAACCAAATGAAACATTGGTTTAAATTGTGAGCGGACATTTTATATGTAGGATGAAAGGACTTGACTATCAAATGACAGATCTGCTAAAGGGGATTTCCATGGATATAAATGAAGAGGCCATTAAAAGAATCTGCAGCCTTATCTTTGGAACGTAAAAAAAGTCCTACAATATTTTTTAAGGGCAAGAGCTACCGTATTTGGATGGCTAACAACACGGGGCTTCTCATTTAACTGATTTGTTTGTCTCTTTAAGGAGTAGAACAAAGTATGGATAGAGGACCAGAGAAAGATCCAAGGAGGTGAGTCTCATTAGTTTATTTAAACTTTGTATGTTATGTAACTAATGCTTACTAGACTTTTGTCACTAATACTCAGTCTCATACTTTTATCCCTTCAATTTTAGGCTCATCATTTTTTTACTTCAATTTTAGGCTCATCATTTTTTTACCCATAGAGGACCCAAGTCCATATTTTCCTTACAACAATAGTTAAAAGTTTCAGCATTTTCCTTCCAAGACTTAATAAAGCGTTGTATAGGAAATTTGAAAATTAAATTAGCCTATAATTTAGAGAAATATCCATAGTCTAGTTTTGAAAAAATCGGCTAAATTATGGCTAATTCTAAGGATCATATAAAGTGCAGAACATCATGGCATTGAGATGACTGAATTAATTACTGTACTTCAACAACCAGTTAAGTTTCTACATATGATGCTCACAATAAAGAATCAAGGTGTAGCGTATGAAGTAAGCAGCAATGCCCAAAAACTGCTATTCATCACTAAGGAATTTACAAAAAAATATTTTTAGAAGAAAATCACAAACGTACATTCAATAGAATTGTCTCGTGTGTCAGTGTTGCCACCTTCAACCCATTCTGTGTTTACTGCTGCTGTCTGTTCGTTGATTGTCAATGAGTTCTCTGAAGGTCTCCTATACTCATCCACCAGTGGTTCGTGATGATTTACCTCATAACCATGACTGTAACGATAGTATGATGAATTATCAGGTTCAGATAGTCCAAACTTGTAAAAGCTTGAATTTGAAGGGTATGAACTCTCCTGCGTATATGATGGAATGTCATTTCATTATCAGAATATTTCCAATTTCTCAACATTAATATTTAAAGAACAACAAAGTTTCGGATAAAATAATGAAAAACAGCTATAGAAGCAGATCTACGTTAATAAAACAAGAAAATAAGAACATGTTCCATTAAACTAAGGCTTACAAAAACTATCTCAAACAGGATATAAATGACAATTTTTGCAGGCACCTGAGCATGTGATGCACCAGAAAAAATGAAGTTGACATGTTCATAGGTAAGACCTTCAAAATATTCGATAAAGCTTCCTGCTGTATTATAGGGATAACTAATGCTATTGTAATGGACATCCATGTGTGGGTTCCAACTCATTTTGAATCCTTCTGCCAGACAAGTAATCTGCAGTCTGCAAAGTCAATTCAGAGCAAATTAAGTTATAACATTCAGGGCAAAGAAAATGAAGTACACAACAGGAAAAAAAGGTTCAGCACTAACCTATGCAAATCTATTCTTCAATCTTAACAGATTCACGAAGGCAGATTTGTCAACAAAAGTTGAAGTAATGAGCACAAGACCATCCGCCTCATATGATTCAGCTACTCCTAAAATGCAAACCTGCAAAAGAGCAAATTACACAGATGTTATGAGGGCAATTCCAGGAATTCCACCAATTATGGTTTTATCTTCTATCAGTAATTGCTTAAATCCGTGCAGTCAAAAAGCAAGAGAAATCCAGAATGCCTAATCTAGAATTTCAAATCAAGAATAAAGCATGTTCAGAACTAACAACTGCAGTCAAAAAATGACTAAAACAATTGAGAGGCACTGATACCAAAGCTTACAAAATGTTAGCCAGCAATCTGCCATAACAATAATGCAATCATATCAAAATGAGTTTCACAGTTTGTATCAGCTGATCAGAATAATGAAGCCTAAGATCACATAAAAGTAAAAATAAAATAAAAATAAGTGAGATCTCTAGGGAAGAAACAGAGATTCAATGATGATGATAAGAATCAAGACCCTCGCATCTGAACCGATGATTTGACCTTAGCCAATAAAAATTCAAAACAACGCAATGAGGTGTATTCCTCAACAAACCAGAAATCCTTTAGTTCTATTTATTTTAATTTTTTCCGAAACCAAACAAGGCACAAAAAACGAAGTAGTAGAATAGTTGGTTATATAGAAGGAAAATCACATGAAGTGCGCAATCCAGGCAGAAGAATCTCGCAGCTTCAGAGATCGCAACCGCAGAGATAAATGTAAGAATGAAAACAAGAAAAACTAGGAGTGTGAAGATGAGGAATGAGAATCGATTTAAAGAATGGAATGAGAAGGAGAAAGAGAGAGAGAAGGATTGGATTCGAAAGGTGAAATTGAAGGAAGAGACTGACCTAGAGCTTCATTGCTTTTTGCGAGAGAGTGATAATGGCGAAATGGCTTATTCACTCTTCGTTTTGTAACTCACTCATCTCTCTCCCCCTTTACGCACTGCTCTGGAGCTGGTTTCACCTACACGCAAACTCCGTTAGATAGACCATGATCAGCTGCATCGCACCTTTTCACCAAACGGTACGCATTTTTATTTTTAATTTTTTTTTCCAACCCCTGATAACTGGACAAACGGATTAGGTAGGTAGATGGAGCAAACAGTGTATTTCTCATCTGACACTCTCAAAATCATAAATCTAAACTCTCATATATTATTTTAGGTATGTTGAAGCTAGAAGAAAACTTTCTCTAAAGTGATTTTTTTTTATAAAACTAATAAATTATTAGACATATTAATTTATAATCAAACCACAGTACAAAACTATGTGCATTACTAATGTAAATTATTTTTTTAAATAGTCTATAAACTGAATCTACATGTTATTTTATTACCATGTGTTCTTTATTAGCATATTGTTAGTTTTCATAATAACTACTTTAAAATTCATGTCTAATATATTTTTTATTATTTAATATTGTAAAAAATTTGTTATAAAATTCATCATAAAAATATAAGAAATATATATATATATATATATATATATATATATATATATAGTTTATTGTGATAAACATTTTTAATTAAAGCATTATTAGTTAACTAAAATAAAATTAATAAAGAATATAGATACTTTTATTTTATGCAATATTTTTTAGAGTGAAAAAATCATTATGTTTAAGTGAATTATAAAAGAAATTAAATAAAATGTAATATTGTAATGTTTTGTTGTTGTCTAGATGGTTTGAAATAAAACAACTAAAAACGTGTTTGATATTTCATTTTCAATTATCCAAATCAAGAAGTACAGAACAGAGTGGGGTTTTTTTTATTAGTTGTGACATTCTATTTTATATAAAAATGTCTCGAAAATCAAATAATATTGTTTTTATTTCTCTTTAACTCACCCAATATAAGAAAATAAAATACATACGATGACTGTTTGACTTTTTTCTTGATGTATTTGAAACTGAACAGGAGTAAATAATAATTAATGTATAATTAGTTCTGTTTTATTTATAAGATTATATGTTTTGATGTACATTTTTATTTTTTTATTTTTATCTTTTAAATAATTAATGTTTTAGATTAAAATAATTATTTTGCAATTTTATTTTTTATTATCATAAAAAAATATTATGCGCATATATGTTTTTTCAGTGGTATGAAAACAAGTAAATTAAGTGGAATTAGAGTAATTCTTTCTTGTTGAATAAGAGAAGCATCAAAGAGAAATGGATAGAAAGAGCTTTTGTTTGGTTTTTTTTAATATTAAAGAGGTGATGAGATGCAGACATCTAAAAAATTAGACGTGGAAAGGTTTCACATGGGAGGGTACGAAGTCCTTGAGGTTCTTTGATAGGGACATCCTTAGTTGTTGGCCAATGTTGACAAATCGAATAATACGAAACATAAAAATGGTTGAAGAGAGGTGGCCAAACAAAACTGGTCTGATTAAGTTGGTATCAGTTATGGTTAGTTAGCAATCAACCAGGTTTCTTTACCCTCTCTGAGTAATGTTAAAATAAAACTACATCACCATTTCTTAACTAGGTACCATTTCAAACAGGGACTTTAGTTGAAAACATAAAAGCCTTATAAAACATCATTTTCAGGATAAAATGTATTTTTTAATACAATTTTTAACATAGTAAATATGTTTTTCAACAATTTTTTTTTATCTAAAAGTTAAATGTATTTTTTAGGTTTTAACACTGTTGACAAAATTAGCGTGAATATAACAATTTTAACATTGAATTTAATAAATATAATTTCATTCAAATATATAACTAATACTATGGTAAGACAGTTATTTATGTAAACTTTCTTTCTAACATTATTATTATTATCAAATATTTAAAAGAACCTAAATATTTTTGGCACGAAAATATGAAGAAA